TCTATGGAGCTGAAGCAGCTGAAGAGGCAGCTGGGAGTTCAAAAGAAACTGCAGAAACTCCGAAAACCCCTCCAGGATGCATCCCGTGGATCGCAGGCGTCGACCGGATCCACCCCCTCAGGGTCAACCTGTACGGTTACTACCTCTACTCCTGGCGTTGGAGAGGAGCCTTTCCCCACGCAGCCCAGGCCAGCTAGTTGTCCAGGAGAAAACAGTGGAACCACGGTGTGTACTGAATATTGGGATGTACCCTATGATCCTATTAATGAGACTATTTTTGGGTACTCCGAGCAACGCTCACCACTCCTGCTCGAGGTGATCTGCAACGGACAGCGCCTCCAAGCACTCGTGGACAGCGGGGCGTAGCACAGCGTCTATGAAAAAAAGGCAATCGATCGACTCGGAAGTGACATCAAGTCCTCAAGCTTCTCTGCAACGATGGTGGATGGCAGTAAGCTACCTATCTACGGGGAAACACGGTTGCTACTCCAGATTGGACCCTTTCGATGGAAGCCTGCTCTCCCCGTCACAAATATCAAAGGACTCCACGTAATCTTCGGGAGAGACTTTCTTAAAAAGTTCAACCCCGAGATCAACTGGGTTAACCGGACGGCCAACATCAACAACAACGGGAGGAAAATCAGCCTTCCCAAATGGGAAGACACGGGAAATATTCCAGTCGAGACACTCGCACGCTTTGAAAAGGACGTCAAACGGACTACGGCGGGATTCATGGCGATAGTCAACGAAGCAGACAACAGAGAGAAGCAGACCCAGGAACTTCCTCCAGCAGTCAAGAAAATTCTTGAAGAGTTCCAGGACGTTCTCCCCGACGATTTACCTGATCAACTACCGCCATACCGGTTGCATCAACACGAGATCGTAGAAGAGCCCGGGTCCAAGCCAACGTTCTGAGCACCATACCGGCTGAGCTTGACAGAGCTTGCCGATATGAAAAAACAAATAGAGTATCTCCTGGAGAAAGGGTTGATTCGACCTTCGACTTCACCGTACGGAGCTCCAGTTCTCTTCACTCCGAAGCCAGACGGAAGTCTGCGAATGTGCATCGACTACCGAGCCTTGAACAAGCAGACTGTAAAAAATAAATACCCGATACCACGGATCGACGACTTACTCGATCAACTTCGCGGTGCTACGGTATTCTCCAAGCTCGACCTCAGATCGGGATACTGGCAAATTCGTATGGCGGACAACTCTATCCACAAAACCGCTTTTCGAACTCGGTATGGGTCATACGAGTATCTCGTAATGCCATTCGGACTCACTAACGCACCAGCCACATTTCAGGCAGAAATGAACCACATCCTTCGGCCCCTTCTGGACGAGTGCGTGGTGGTATATTTGGACGATATCCTGATCTACTCGAAAGATATGAAGAAGCACGTTGAGCATCTGCAACGGGTGTTTGAAATTCTTCGACGAGAACGCTTCTACGTGAAACTATCCAAGAGCGAGTTTGCGTTGAAAAGAGTCCAGTTCCTTGGACATATGGTGAGCGCTCAAGGAGTTCACATGGATCCTAAGAAGATCGAAGCAGTGCGAACGTGGAAGACCCCTGAGAACGTGAAGGAGTTACAACAGTTCCTTGGATTCGCCAACTACTACAACCGGTTCGTACCAAACTACGCCAAGATTGCCGCACCATTAACGAACCTGTTGAAGAAGAATACACCATATCAATGGGAGGCGAAGCACCAGGAAGCCGTGGAACAACTTAAAACCGCACTCACATCCGCACCTGTCCTTATCCTGCCAGACACTGAACTTGACTATATCGTCGAGGCCGATGCTAGCGATCAAGCAGTGGGCGCAGTACTCATGCAGGATCAAGGGAAGGGACTGCAACCCATTGCATACCTCAGTAAAAAACTTCACGGGGCAGAACTCAATTACCCCATCCATGACAAAGAGGCCCTCGCCATCGTCAACGCATTTAAGGCATGGAGGTGTTATCTCGAAGGAAGAAAAACGACTGTCTACACCGACCATTGCAGCCTCAAGTACCTGAAGACCCAACCAACACTCTCCAGGCGGCAGGTCCGGTGGATTGACTTTCTCGAAACCCACTTCCATTACGACATCATGTATAAGCCGGGGCACAAGAACAAGGCAGACGCACTGAGTCGCCCTGCACACGTTGCCGCCTTACAAATCGATGGCATGAACCCACTTTTGAAGGGACTCTTCACGCATGGATACACCATCGACCCCGAAGTCTCTGTAGCAGAAAAGCGCCATCTTCTACAATGGGATCAAGACATCGCATACCGCAAGGGCTCAACAAAAATATGGGTACCTAATTACCCTCCCTTACGCCAGTTACTGCTCGAAGAATATCATGATGTTCTCTACGCGGGCCACTTCGGTAGTAACAAGACGCTTGCCGGTATTGCGAAGCATTATTATTGGCCCCACATGGCGGATGACGTACACAAATTCGTCACCTCGTGCGACACATGCCAACGGATGAAGAGCAGCAAACAGAAGAAAGCAGGGTTACTACAACCTCTTCCAGTCCCTGAACAGCCTTGGCAAGTGGTTAGCCTCGACTTCATCACCGGGTTACCACCTACCAAAGCTGGTTACGACGCCATTCTAGTCGTCATCGACAAATTCTCCAAAATGGGACACTTCATTCCGACACACTCAACGGCTCGCATCGAGGAGACAGCGCAATTATTCTTCCGCTACGTCATCTCGCAACATGGCATTCCAACCACACTGATCTCCGACAGAGACCCGAAATTCACGAGTAAGTTCTGGAAGGAGCTCATGTCGCTCATGGGGACCAAACTCGCCATGTCATCAGCCTATCATCCCCAAACGGATGGTCAGACAGAGCGCCTCAACCAGATTGTCGAACAGCTTCTGCGAGCAGCGTGTAAGGACGATATCTCTACATGAGATGCACATCTGCCGGTTCTCGAGTTTGCGTATAACAACGCCACGCACGCCGCAACAGGGCAAACTCCTTTCTTCCTCTGTTACGGTCGCAACCCACTCACGCCTCAGACACCAACAGTACCCGCCACGGTGCAACCCGCACATGACTTCATTTCCACTATGCACCAATTGTGGGAGCGCACGCATAAACGTCTTCTGACTATCCAGCAGCAACAAAAGAAGCTCGCTGATCGGAGTCGCAACGATCATTCCATCAAGATTGGCGATCAAGTGCTTCTGGATACACGCAATCTCGACATTAGCCATCTTCCGTCTAAGCTCCGACTCGCTTCTGCGGACCTTTTCTCGTCGAGGCGCAGGTCACTCCAGTAACCTTCCGCTTGCGTTTACCAGCTACTTGGAGAATTCACAATGCCTTCCATGTTCAACTTCTCAAGCCCTATCGGGACCCAAACACGGTCTTCAAAGGTCGCCAGCCGCCGCCGCCACTGCCAGTGATCGTTAATGGGGAACCCGAGTACAAAGTCGAAGCCGTTCTGGCGCACCGACGACGACGTAACGGCACCTTGGAGCTCTTGATTCGTTGGAAAGGCTATGATCCTTCCGAGGATACCTGGGTACCTGAACACGACATGGATAACGCCCGCCGTCCTCTCCAGGACTACCTTGTAAAGCAGGGTGTTACTTCTACCACCCAGCTTTGAGGGGGGGAAGTGTGAGAGGACGTCCCCGTTATAATATTTTCTCACTATTATATTTTTCCGTTATCCTATTCTCCCTTTTCTCCTCTTTATTTTGGTCTTTATCTCATCTCAATCGGCCTACTATTCTATTTTCTAGAGCCTTCTATTTATTCCTCTTATTTCCTACTTTTCCCACCAACATACCTATTATACGGCACCGACAGCGCCGACAGTAGTGTATACGGTGTAATATGGGCGTAATCCCAAGTGCCAATAGCCTTGCGTGCTTGTGCGCACTTGTGATTATAGTATCGGGAAGGGCGTGTTCCCGAAGGTTCGTTTTATCTCGATTATCCTTGTATTCTCCGAGTATAAAAATGCCTTGTATTCAGTTTTAGTGACAAGTTTCGATTGAGAATTCGATCCTGTGACATTAAGGGTTAGGGAGCGAACAGATAAGGACCAGGGAACGGCAAGATAAGGACTCCTAGAAGATAGGGAAGGCTGAGCTACTAGCTGGCACGATAATAGCGAGATTAAAACATGGAATACGTAGAAGTGAAACAGAAATGCTGAAGTGAGTGGACAAGAAGGGGGAATGTCGAGAAGGTGGGGTTGTGGATGGTTAGTCGAGGGCGCGTCAACTGAACGGCGACCCTGCGGTCGATCCTACGCAGGTTCGGTTCTCAACGTGGTTAAAAGAAATGTCAAGATGTTTTAAGTGCAATGCGCGAGGTTTTGTTACGGTGCTAGATCGATTTTTGCACGATCTAGCCAGAGAGAACGTGTCTTGATGCGATGAGGTGTTTGTATGGAAGGTGGTGCGACAGGTGGCGACAGTTGGCGCGATAAGGATAACAAACAACATCTCGATTTTCCTGCTTTCAGGTCAGTTTCTTTAGACAAAGAACACTGACAGAGTTGTGTGTCCGGTGGTTTAGAGCTCATTTATGGACTGAAAGGCCACGGTGTTATGGGTTGTGAAAGGAAGAGTGCGCAGAAACTCAATAATGCGGAAGTGATTACAACGTCTGAGAACACAACGAGGCCTAGGACTAATATACCGAAGCTAGCTAGGCTGAGGTCGCGGGGTCGCGAGATGGTTGGGTGCAAGTTCGGGGTTGGGAAACCCGAAAGCGACGCGGTAGTGGCTCGGAAGGCGAGGTCGGCGGACCGAGCCTGGTTTTCCGAAAGTCGGGGTTGTACGCTTACAGTGTGACCCAGTAAGGAATCCGAAAAATTCCTTACACACGGGTTCGAATCCAGATATTTGCAATACTTCAGGAAATATATAATTTTAAAAAAAAGTCAAAGGATTTTAGTCTTCCACGGTGGTTTAGCATAACCAACTTTAAGCCTCTGGACATTACTCAGAACTTCTTTGCTGGGGTCATGCCGTCCGCATCCTGGAAGCTTTGCAGTGCCTACTACAACTGCTTCTCTAACCTGGGCAACTGCACTTGGCAAGCGAGGGTTGCAGGCGAGTGCAGCATCTGCGGCAGCACTGACGGCACGGGCACGCTGTGCAGACCCAGGAAGGCATGTATGGCGCAGGACGCTAGTGCTCTGATCGCGGCTGGGACGGTGAATGCGGGGCAAATGAACCGGGCTTGCATGGACGTGCCCATCACCATCCACCCCGTTGATGGTCAGTCGCCCCTTCAAGCCCACTTGTACACACTTCAACCTTGGTAGTGCTTCGTGCTCCACTACCCCCTACACTCACCGCCATAGTTGCTCTCTCGACCCATCCCTTGTTCCTCTCGCGTAAGTTCCCTTTCTCCTCGTGCCACCCCCAACAGCTGCCGCCCTGCTGAACATCAAGAGCACGCTGGGTGTGACGTACACCACGTGGACCGCCACCAGCCCTTGCCGCCTGTTTGGAAGCTCGGTGGGCTTCCCGGGCGAATGGAATGGTGTCTGGTGCAACGGTGACGGCAAGGCTGTCCTATTGTGATTGCACACCTCGGCCGCACCTCTACATCACCCGCACCATGCCGTGTCTCATTCATCCTGCTGCTTCAATCGCTTAGTGCATGCTCTGACTGCTTTCTGTGTGTGTCCTCTCCCAATGGGGTAGCATACTCATCTGCCCTCTTGCATTCTGTGTCACACGTGGGGTGGGCTCAATCTCTTCCGTGCATCAGTGCTGTGGACGGCCTAGGCCTCAAGGGGTCAATCCATGCTGAGATGTCCGCGCTCACAACTCTCACCCGAGTGTGAGTCTCCTCTACTTCACTCTTATCCTGCTCTACTCGCTTTCACATGGCTCTCCTACCACCATGTTGCTGCATTCGATTATGCCTTCCCTATTTTGGCCTGCTTTTGTGGTCATGTGGAGCCATGTTGCATTGATACGTGTGGTGAAGGTTCAAGTGCAATAGCCTCTCTCACCTCCTTTTCCTCACCTCACCTGCGCCCTCTGCACGCCCCCTTTGCTTTTTGCTCGCCCCTTTGCCCTCTGCACGCCCCCCTTTGCCTTCTACATGCACCCGTTTGCCTTCTGCTCGCCCCATTTGCCCTCTGCTCGCCCCTCCCCCGCAGGTCGCTGACGTCCAACTTCTTCAACTACCGCATCGACTCCTTCACCTCAAGCATGAAAGCCTTGCCCAATCTGGTCGACATGTGAGTGGCACAGTGAGGCTGACCAGCGAGGAAAGGGCTCGAGGTGAGGGGCGAGAGAACGAGATCTTCACTTGTGTCCTGGCTTGCACCTTGTTTTTCTCACACTCGCTTCGCTCTCACATGATCCGACCCCAGTTTCTGCTCATGCCTAGTACACTGCACCAACTGCTGTTGTTATTGTGGTTTTCTTTTCGTTCTTCTCTTTTTCGAGATCATAACTATATCGTGAGCTGTTGTGAGGCACCTCAGTCCTCATGACTGCTCAAGCCTTTTTCCTTCCACATGATGACTGTCCCCACCATCTATGCTCCTCTCGCAGCCAAATGCACATCAGCTACTTGTACGGAGAGATCCCCTCATTTCTCGTGAACATTCCAAAAATCACACAGCTGTAATTCACTCCTCAAACCTGGTGGCTGCCTGCTGCTTTGAGCTGTTTCTGATCCTCCCTCGCCCTCTTGTCCTGCGACCCACTCCCTAAGCCGCCCTTCATCCTCCCCCTTGGCTGCTTTCTCCCTTGGCCAGTGAAGCGCCCTACAACTACCTCATGGGCACCGTGCCTCCGGTGGGCGCCAGTCTGGTCGTGTTGAACATGGCGTTCAACTTCCTCACGGACTTCCCAACATTCAGCTGCACGACTTGTGGCGGCAACAACAACTGCCTCACCACGCCCTCCAAGTGCCCCTCTGGAGGCACGATTCAGAGGGCTGCGGCGGAGTGTGTGTATTGCGGCACCAATGGCGTACCCCCGCTGTGCTGGGGGGCGGGAGGAGTGTGCACGGTGGACGCTTCTGTCCCCATCGCTGCCGGCACTGGCAGCAAAGCATTGACCACTCCACTTGCCCGGACCTGCGTGGGCGGAGATGTTGTGTTGGTGAAAGAAAGCGCAGGTAGGCAGGAGGCAGTGGGGCACGGGACAGGGCAGTACACCGCAGTTGTCCTTTTGCGCTGTTGATGCCTCCATTGTGCCTAACATGGTAGGTCAGCAATGGGTGTGGACGAGCAGCACACGTGGCCATTGGTGGAGTGTGCGGGGGCAGTGGTGGTGCAGCAGCGTTGCCTGCTGAGGGCGGTGGGCGTGGTGGGGCTGTGGGGCCAGCGTCCACACCACAGGGCCCGTACCCTGCCCCCACTTGCTCACGTGCTCCTTGGTTGTTTTCTCTCCTTTCGCTACCTGCCTTGTTCCCTTATCCCTGCGTGCCCCCCTCCAGCCATGCTCACCCTCAAGTCTTTGCTGGGCGTCACTTTCACCAGCTGGGCGGCCAGTGTCCCCTGCAAAATCGCTGGGCAGAGCACCACAGTCACAACCTGGAGCGGCGTGCTCTGTGACAACATTGGCAGCGTCCTGAGCATGTGAGTTGGCATGGTCGGATCGGAACTTGACTTAATCTACACTTACCTCGTTTGTGACTGAAACCTCGTCGTGGCACATCAATTTTGCACATCTCCTCTGTTTCGAAAGTGAGCTGCATCAGCAAGGCATTGTGAGCATGTGTGCATGTGAGCATGTGTGCATGTGAGCATGTGTGCATGAGAGCATGTGTGCATGTGAGCATGTGTGCATGTGAGCATGTGTGCACGTGAGCATGTGTGCATGTGAGCACGTGTGAATAATACGCTTTCAGTATATTCTGAAAAATAATGTAGTAGTCATATCTTACTTGCACAATTTACTTGTTCTTTCGCATCTGTTTCCGTGATTCTGCACATCACAGCAAATCAGCGCTTTCTGCACGTGGTTAGCATGATTGTACAGCACACTCATCTGCAGTTGCTGTGCCCTCCCAACCCATTGGTCATCAGAGGCGTGTCTAACGCAAACCTCAAGGGCTCACTACCAGCAGCTGTTTCCTTGCTCTCAGCTCTCACCTACCTGTAAGCTCTCACGGATCCGCTTTAAAAGACTTGTTTGGGACTGGCCGCACCTGGGTGGTTCCTTTTGCGACAACACGCAGTGAATGCCAATGATCCATAGATATGTGCCTAGCCGAACCGTGATGCATGCAGTTGGCAGTGCAGCAATGACCTCGCCTCCCTCACCCTCTGCTTGCGCCTCACAGCGACCTGCAGAAAAATCTATTCCACCAGCGCCTCGATTCATTCACCACCAACCTTAAAGCCCTGCCAGTACTGGCCGATATGTGAGTGGCAACGTGTGGCAGTCAAGGGGGGAGTGAGAGGAGGAGACTCGCGGAGCTGTCTTGTCTTGTATCAGCTTTGACCGCACTTCACTCTCAGTCTTCTGACCTGCTCATGCCTTTTATATTGCTTTTTTCGTTATGAGGTGCTTTTTGTCATGCCTGTGCTTGCCTTACCCTTCTACATGCCGCCCCTCATCATCTCATACCGGCAACCTTGTCTCTGCTCCTCTCGCAGCCGCCTGCACTACAACTACTTGTATGGCGAGGTCCCCTCGTTTCTCGTGGGACTCCCAAAAATCACTCAGTTGTAAGTCTGTGCACCGCACCATATGCTTGCACATTGCTTTGAGAAGTTTCCCACTTTCTTTGGCCGATCATCGCGTTTGCCCGCTTCTTATAGCGCCTCCCACCCCTCTCTCGCTGCTCTCTTCCTTGGCCAGTGGCGTTGCCAGCAACTGCCTTACAGGCACCGTGCCGGCACTCTCCAGCGGTCTTCGCACGCTGGACGTGCGATACAACTTCCTCACGGACGTGCCAGCAGTCACCTACACGTACTGTGGCGGCAACAACAACTGCCTGCTCACGCCCTCCAAGTGCGCCACCGCTGGCTCCACTCAGAGGCCTACGGCGGACTGTGCCATCTGCGGCACCACCAACGCCGTGGGCCCCTTCTGCACTGCCTCGGGAGGGGTGTACATGCCGGATGCGGCTGCAAATGTTGCCGCGGGCACTGTGAATGCGCCGGTGCTTCCCTTGCTCTTCATGGGGTGCACTGGCGGGACCAACTACATGTACCCTTCGGATGGTGAGTGCCATTGTACTACTACACCACCTGCTTCATACCTCTTCTTGAACGCTGGTTAGTATAAGTGCTCATATAGCAACAAACAAAGTAAGTCTTGGGCTACTCTCGGCTAAGCAACTAGTCTAAGCATACAACCATCCAATATGCATGCCCCTGGCCCTGAAGGCCAGTGGGCGGGCCTTCTCGCTGTCCGCGCCGTTTCAACCTCTCTGTAACTCACCACGTGCGCTTCCCCCCGCCTGCCGTCCCCCATGCGCCCATCAGCGGCGGCCCTGCTCAACATCAAGTCGGCCATGGGGCTCACCTTCACCTCGTGGGCCACCACCACTCCGTGCCTTGCTGAAGGCACTTCTCCAAATTGGGACGAGTGGGAGAGAGTGACCTGCACGCCTTTTGGCCGCCTCTACTCGATGTGAGTGCAGGCGGCAGAGAAGTGTGTTGGGTCAATTCATTTAAGCTTGCACTCGTTTGTGTCTGCGCAGCTTATGATTTCCGTCTCACTGTATCGTTGCGTTTCTACATCTGTTTGTGTGTGTGTGTGTGTGTGTGTGTGTGTGTGTGTGTGGCTGCTCTCAGCAACCTGGAATCCGCGAAACTCGTGCGCAAGAGCTTCCCCTCAGACATCTCTAAGCTCACGACTCTTACTGGCGTGTACGTGCTCCATGTTGTGGGAGTTACCCGAGGATGCAGTGTAGTGTAGGCAGGAGGGATTCACTGTTCTTGTTTACTCTTGTGTGGCATGCATGAGACATGCATTGCAGCTCTTAAATGTGGTGAGTCGATACTGCTGGCAATCAGGCTGCCTTGCGGTCGAACTGACCGCAATCGGCCTGCCTTGCTGTGTGCAGGTGGGTGCCGTCAGACTTCCTGGACGGCAGCTTTGCAGACTACGTCAAATACTTTTACACTCTCACCAACTTGAAGTCTGTGTGAGTATCGCTGGATTCTTGCAGGTCTTGCCGTTGCTGTTGTGATTTCTTGCTTCATGCTCGTCCTCATACTCGTCCTCTCCTTCCATTGTGTGTGTGCTTGTGTCTCCCTTGTCCTTGCAGATCCATGCAGTACAATTATTTCTCTGGGAGTTTTCCGAGTGTGTTCACAACTCTGCCCATGTTGAACGATGTGTAAGTATGGCAAAATGCTCGTCTTCTCTGTCTAGATATTAGGGTACTAGTGCTGCGCTTTCACTCAAAGCGGGTGCACGATGGTGTTCCAGCCCTTTCTCAATATTGGTTGCCTGCCCCACCCCACACCCTCAGGAGGCTGCGATGCAACTACCTCATGGGCACGCTCCCAGCGAGCATAACCAACTTTAAGTCTCTGGACATTGGTCCGAAACTTCTTCGCTGGGGTCATGCCGTCCGCATCCTGGAAGCTTTGCAGTGCCTACTACAACTGCTTCTCTAGCCCGGGCAACTGCGCTTGGCAAGCGAGGGTTGCAGGCCAGTGCAGCATCTGCGGCAGCACTGACGGCACGGGCACGCTGTGCGGACCCGGGAAGGCATGTTTGCCGCAGGACGCTAGTGCTCTGATTGCGGCTGGGACGGTGAATGCGGGGCAATCGAACCTGGCTTGCGTGGACGTGCCCATTTCCATCCACCCCATTGACGGTTCGTTGCCTCTTCAGGCCTACTTGTTACAACTCATGTGTTCACCACCATTGTACACATTCAACCTTGGTGCTTTGTGCTCCACCACCCCCCACACTCTCCGCCACGCTTGATCTTCCAATTCATCCCTTGTTCCTCTCGCGTAAGTTCCCTTTCTCCTCGTGCCATCCCCACAGCTGCCGCCCTGCTGAACATCAAGAGCACGCTGGGTGTGGCGTACACCACGTGGACCGCCACCAGCCCGTGCCGCCTGTTTGGAAGCTCGGTGGGCTTCTCGGGTGAATGGAATGGTGTCTGGTGCAACGGCGATGGCAAGGCGGTCCTATTGTGAGTGCACACCTCGGCCACACCTCTACATCACCCGCACCATGCCGTGTCTCGTTCATCTTGCTGCTTCAATCAGCTTTGTGCATGCTCTGACTACTACCTCTGTGTCATCCCAACCGCATGCCATACTGATTCACCTGCCCCGTTGCGTTCTGTGTGTCACACGTGGGGTGGGCTTATTCTCTTCCCTGCATCAGCGCTGTGGACGGCCTAGGCCTCAAGGGGTCACTCCATGCTGACATGTCCGCGCTCACGGCTCTCACCCGAGTGTGAGTCCCATATGCTCTGCTCTTATGCTCTCACGGCTTTCACGTGGTTAACCAGCATGTTGCTTCGATGATGTGTCTCCTCTTTCGACCTGCTTTAGTGCAGTGAGATGTAATGTGGAGCCATGATGCATTGATGCGTGTGGTGGAGGTTCAAGTGCAATAGCCTCCTTCACCTCTGCCCGACTCTTGCAGGTCGCTGACGTCCAACTTCTTCAACTACCGCATCGACTCCTTCACCTCAAGCATGAAAGACTTGCCAAATCTGGTCGACATGTGAGTGGCACACTGCGGCCGGCCAGGGAAGAGCACTTGTTTTTATCACAGTCATTTCTCTCTCACATGAACCGATCCCTCTTTCTGCTCATACCAGTTGCTGTTGCTGTTTTCTTTTTGCTCCCTTTTTCTTTGAGATCATAATAATACTGTGGGTTATCCTCAGCCCTCATGAATGCATGAGCCTCATCCCTTCCAGATGATGCCTCTCATCACCTTCCACCTCCACCCTCTATGCTTCTCTCACAGCCGCATGCACATCAACTACTTGTACGGGGAGATCCCTTCCTTTCTCGTGAACATCCCAAAGATCACTCAACTGTAAGTCACTTCTCAGCCTGGTCGGGATTGCATGCACCATGTGGCTGCGTGTTGCTTTGTAGGGTGAGGAGCCGTTCCCGTTCTCCCTCGCCCTCTCGTCCTGTGACCCACTCCCTAAGCCGCCCTTCATTCCCCCCTTGGCTGCTTTATCCCTTGGCCAGTGAAGCGCCCTACAACTACCTCATGGGCACCGTGCCTCCGGTCCGCGCCGGTCTGGTCGTATTGAACATGGCGTTCAACTTCCTCACGGACTTTCCGACATTCAGCTACTCCACTTGTGGCGGCAACAACAACTGCCTCACCACGCCCTCCAAGTGCCCCTCTGGAGGCACGGTTCAGAGGGCTGCGGCGGGAGTGTGTCTATTGCGGCACCAACGGCGTGCCCCCGCTGTGCTGGGGGGCAGGAGGAGTGTGCACGGTGGACGCTTTCTGTCCCCACTGCTGCCGGCACCGGCAGCAAGTCGTTGACCACTCCACTCGCCAGGACATGCGTGGGCGGAGCGGTTGTGGGCATCAAAGAGAGCGCAGGTAGGCAGGGGGCAGTGGGGCAAGGAGCAGGTCATTTTCCGTTGTAGATGCATTTGTTGTGTCTAACATGGCAGGTCAGCAATGGGTGTGGACGAGCAGCACACGTGGTCAATGGGGGGAGTCTAAAGGGAGTGATGGTGATGAGAGCGGTGGGTGTGGCGTGGTAGGGCTGCGGGGCCGGGGGCAGCGTCCACAGGGCAAGTACCCTGCCTCCACTTTTCTCACGTGCTCCTTGGCGTTTCCCTCTCCCTTTCGCTGCCTGTTTCCCCGTTCCCTGTGTGCCCCCGTCCAGCCATGCTGGCCCTCAAGTCTTCGCTGGGCGTCACATTCACCAGCTGGGCGGCAAGTGTGCCGTGCATGCTGGTTTGGCAGAGCACCACATTCACAACTTGGAGTGGCGTGGTCTGTGACAGCACTGGCAGTGTCGTCAGCATGTGAGTCGTCATGCTGGGCACCTGAGTTAGTCTGCATAAGCTTGATGCTCGTCATTTGCCGCATGTGATCATCCAGCCATGGATCATTTTCAAGCGTGCACAAATGCATAATCTGTTTTCCATAAATGCTGAATAAGCTATAGCAGTCATCGTTGACTTGAGATTACATCATTTCTGTTTTGCTTGTGTTTTGCACTCATTTTTATGATACTGCACATTACAACAGGTTAATGATTATGCACCTGGTTAGCATGATCATACATACTCATCTTCTCCATCTTCTGTTGCTGTGTCGCCCCAACACTTTGCCACACACCGTTGGTGATCAGAAGTTTGACTAAGGCAAACCTCAAGGGCTCGCTCACTTCGGATGTCGCCTCGCTCACAGCCCTCACCTACCTGTGAGTTGTGTCTTCTATGCTCTGCGAGTCTCTATCCATGCTTTCTAGTAAAAGCGACTTCGTCCATGTGACTGGCTGCTCCTGGTTCATTTCTATTGCGTCGCACATGCATCGATGCCCATGATGCATCCATGCACGTGCCTAGGCGAACCTTGATGCATCCATGCACGTGCCTAGGTGAACCTTGATGCATCCATGCACGTGCCTAGGCGAACCTTGATGCATCCATGCACGTGCCTAGGCGAACCTTGATGCATCCATGCACGTGCCTAGGCAAACCTTGATGCATCCATGCACGTGCCTAGGCAAACCATGATGCATGCTGTTGGCAGTGCAGCAATGACCTCGCCTCTCTCACCCTCTGCTTGCGCCTCACAGCAACCTGCAGGGAAATCTATTCCACCAGCGCCTCGATTCCTTCACCACGGATCTTCGATCCTTGCTGGTTCTGGCTGACATGTGAGTGGCAGAGTGTGGTCAGCTACGGAGGGGAGGGACAATAGCATGAAATCGTTGGTGCTGTCGTGTCTCGCGTTGCTCCCACACCTGTTTCTCAAGCAATCTTTGAAGCTCTGCTTCTGCCTCAGTTTTTCCTTTTGTGCGGTTCCTCAGGCACCTCGCCATGCCTGCATAAGCACTACCCCTTTCACCACGTGCCACCACTTATTTCCCGCCCTTGGTTGCCGCTCCTGCAGCCGCCTGCAGTACAACTACCTCTTCGGGGAGGTTCCTTCGTTTCTCGTGGGCCTTCCAAAGCTCACTCAGCTGTATGTCCGTTGGGAATCGGGATGGCATAAGGACAGTTCATTAGCTGTTGGGAAATCATGCATGTGCCACATGGCTGCATGCTGTTAAGATGACAGGTCTCTGTTCTGAGCCAGTTGAGGGCTTTATGGACCTTATGGCTGCATGCCGTTTTTCTCTCCTGCCTCACCCTCCCATCCTTTTATCCCATTCCTTACACCGCCCTTCATTTCCTCCCTGCTGCTCCCTTCTCAACAGCGGCATCGCCTAGAACTACCTCTTCGGCACCGTGCCAGCGCTCGCCACCGGCCTTCTCACACTTGATGCTCGATTCAACTACCTCACGGACCTGCCAACGGCAGCCTACAAGTCATGTAGCGGCAACAACAACTTCCTCGTCACGCCCTCCAAGTGCAACGCCGCCGGCACCGTTCAGAGGACTGCAGCGGAATGCTCCTTTTGTGGCACCACCAACGGCGTGGGCCCCTTCTGCACTGCCACGGGAGGGGCGTGCATGGTGAATGCATATGACAATGTCGACGGTGGCATTGTGAATTCGGCCACACAGCCCGCGGTCCCCTTGTTTTGCTTGTTCCCGCCAGTGGCTATGAAGGACAGCGCAGGTAAGCATTAGGAGCCTTTGGGTTATGGGTTCTGGGTGGTTGGCACAGGGTACGTGGCTGCACACTGCGCGTCCATGTGGGCTGTTGATGTCTGATGAGGGCGCTGGGCGTGGTTGGGCTATGGCGGCCGGGGCATTTAGCAATTTCAGTTCCCAGCGCTCACAGGGCCTGTGGACAGCCTCCACTCCACGTGCTCGCATGCTCCTTGGGGCCTCACCTCCATCCACCGCCCACTGCTTGCCTTGCTGCCTTCTTCCCCACGTGCCCCCCTCCAGCCATGCTCGCCATCAAGTCGTCGCTCGGCGTCACCTACACCACGTGGGCGGCCAGTGTGCCGTGCAAGCTCCCAGGGCAGATCGCCAGGGTCGCAATCTGGACCGGCGTGTCCTGTGACAGCACTGGCAGTGTCGTGGGCATGTAAGTGGTCATGATTGGCCCGGCACGTGAGGTTTTTTGGCATTATTATGAGGCTTTCTTGCTAGCCAACCAGCTTAGTTTTGAAACATTTCGCCAATGGAAAAGGCACGTGGGGCAGTTTGTGAGCCAGTCGTGTGCTTGCATCATCTGACCGCTGTTGTGCTGCTGCATCATCCGCTTGCCATGCGTCTGCATATCACGCTCACCATGCTCACCATGCTCACCATGCTCACCATGCTCACCATGCTCACCATGCTCACCATGCTCACCATGCTCACCATGCTCATCATGCTCACCATGCTCACCATGCTCACCATGCTCACCATGCTCACCATGCTCACCATGCTCACCATGCTCACCATGCTCACCATGCTCACCATGCTCACCATGGTCATCATGCTCATGCTCACCCCGATGTTGCGTTGCATGTGCCTCTCTCCCAACGCTTCCCCATAAACGCGTGGGGTGCATCAGAGGATTGGAGAACGCAAACCTTAAGGGCTCGCTTGCTATGGAGATCTCCACGCTCTCTGCTCTCACCTACCTGTGAGTTGTTGTCCACCTCTCTGCTATGCTCTGGTTGTTCTGGCCCTTCGTATAATGCTTCCTGCCGTTGAATCACCTGCTGCGTCATCCATATTCCAGTAACATGCAGTGGAAGCGCACACCCCTCACTGAGCTTAGATGAACCATGAGGCACCTAGCTGGGCTTCATGCGCAATAATCTCTCCTCCGTCACCCTCTCCTCGCCCCTCACCCTCCTCCGCCACCCTCTCCTTGCCCCTCACCCTCCGCCACCCTCTCCTCGCCCCTCACCCTGCGCCACTCTCTGCTCGCCCCTCACAGGTCCTTGTCAGCCAATCTCCTCAACTACCGCATTGATTCGTTCACCACATACTTGCGCTTCTTGCCAGTGCTGGCCGACATGTGAGTGGGGCAGCAGACTGTTGCACACTGATGCTGCTCAACCTGCTTGCCTCATGCTTGCTGGCTCCCACACCCGTTTCTCTCCCAATCCCCCTCCGCCTATTTCTGTCTCGCGTCTCGCAAGTATTTGATTCTCCCTTTGAGGCGCCTCAGTTGTCATGCCTGTGCGAGCCTCACACACCCCTTTTACGTTCCGCCTCTCGTCTCATCCCGCCATCATCCTCTCTGCTCATATCGCAGCCGCCTCCATAACAACTACTTGTTCGGGGAGATCCCCTCGTTTCTTGTGGGCCTCCCAAAGCTCACTCAGTTGTAAGTCTGCTGGGTTGGACCGTTGCAGTCTACACCACAAGTTGTCATCAACGTGCTTAGGCGGGGTGCTGCTTTTCCAATCGAACTCCACCATACCGCATGGTGCTTGTCCCCAACCCTATCTGCACATCACTTGTGCTGCTATTGAGCCCACCTCTCCCCTCTTTCCCCCCCACCAGTGGAGCCATGAACAACTACCTCATGGGGTCAATACCCGCGCTCGCTAGTGGGCTGCGCACTCTGGACATTCGATACAATTTCATTGCGGACCTGCCAGCAGTGACCTACAGCAGCTACAACGGCACGGGCAACTGCCTCATTGCGCCTTCCAAGTGCGGCTCCTCCGGCATCAATCAGAGGCCCCCAGCGGAGTGTGCCTTCTGCAGCTCCACCAATGCCATGGGCCCCTACTGTTGGGGGGGGGGAGGAGTGTGCACGGTGGATGCGTTTGTATATGTCTTCGGCAGTTATGTAAACGCGGGGTCGACGCCTGGGCTTGCCACGTGTGTGGGCGGCACAGTGGTGGCCATCCAAGAAAGCGCAGGTGGGCTGTGGGCGCTGGGCGGCGGCGGTGGGCAGTGTGCAGTGCAGTGCATGGCAGTGGTCCTGCGGCCTGTTGCTGCCTCACAATCTGAGATGGCTGGTTGCTTTCTTGTCTCCCTGACCATTTCTGCACTCTCTTCTGCCTCGTTCCGCGTCTGGCTGCCTCACACCATCCACGCCCGCAATCCTTCTCACCTGCCTGACACGACACCCTGCCCCTCCCCCCTTCCCCTCCCCCCGCACTCTCCTCTCCTCGTTGCCCCATCTCCCCGCCCACGGCCGTCATGCCCGTGCTTCAGCCATGCTGGCGCTCAAGTCATCACTGGGCATAACGACCAACACGTGGGCGGCGTCTGTGGCATGCACGCTCAAGGGCACCACTGCGCCCGTGCCCACGTGGGCTGGCGTCCTCTACGACTCCAGTGGCAATGTCGTGAGCATGTGAGTGTGATGCAGCGCAAGGTGTGTTGACATCTTGACTTGTGACTCGCAGAATGACCTGCATGGGCAGCCAGTTCTCCAGTATAGAACGCAATGGGCACTGGGGACAAGTGAGTAATAGTTGAGCATGAGCACAACAGTGTGGTAGCTCTCTGTGTGCCTCGCTGAGCAGGACCAACTCTCACTGTGCTGCATGTCCCAACCCATGGCATGGGTTTCACGTACCATCGCATGGCAAGAGTTTCAACTGTCATGTCCCATTGCATGGTAAGGGTTCCCCGGTAAACCCTCAACATCCGCTGCTGCTTGTTCTCCCACCCGTTTCCGCATGCAGTGAGATGAAGAACACAGGGCTGGCAGGAGCACCTCCTGCTGACATCTCCAAGCTCACCACCCTCACCTATCTGTAAGTGCACCTCACCCACCTGTAAGTGCACCTCACCCACCTGTAAGTGCACCTCACCCACCTGTAAGTGCACCTCACCCCTCACCCACCAGCAAGTCGTCTCTCACTCACTGCTTTCCAAAGCTTCGCAGCACTCCTCCCCCAAAACTTCCCGCGTGTCCGCCCTTCGCGGCCCCCTTTGCGCCGCACTGCCATAGCTTGGTGTTCCTTACACGGTGCACCTGCGCTCCTCTGTTGCCCTGCTGCCCTGCCCTTGTGCTGCCATGCCAGGAACCTCAACTCGCAGCTCTTCCAGGCGCCCCTCACTGACTTCACCTCCAACCTCCTCAAGCTTACCGGCCTCAAGGAGCTGTGAGTCGCTTTCTGCACTTCTCCACACACACTCTCTGGCCTCATCCAGTTTTGCACCCGTTCTTTACCACCGACATGTGTCCGCCGCTCCTGCTTGCATTCAATTCGCTCCTTCTCTTACATGTGACCCTTCCCCATCCTCTAACCCTCGCTTCCCCCCTCCCCATTTCACCCCCACCTGCCCCACAGCTACCTGCAGTACAACTGGTTCTTCGGCTCTGTTCCCACCGCGCTTCTCAGACTGCCCTCGCTCTGCGTGCTGTGAGTACCGCACCACCTTCCTCACTCCCTCCTGCCTTCGCTTGCCCACGTTCACTTGCAAGGCACCGCTGCCGCCTCCCACTCTAGGTTAATAAGATATTGGGGCCTCCCATGCCCCACATTCATGCATAATTGCGCATCTCAAATCTCTCGGCCTCGCAACTCCCAACTCCCTTCTCTTAAGAACCCACCGCTGCATCTGTTTGTGCTACCATAACACCCCCTGCAGTGGCCTGGGCTTTAACTACCTCACCGGCTCCTTCCCAGGGTCAGCCACGTTGGTGACTCTGGACATCCGCAGTAATTTCTTCTACACCATGGCACCCATGACCCTCAAGTGGTGCGACGGCTCCAACAACTGCCTCGCGTCTCCCGCTCCCTGCGCCTCTGGCGGCTCCACTCAGCGCGCCGCAGCCGACTGCGCCATCTGCGCCTCCGTCGGGGCCGTGCCGCCCTTCTGTCGCGGCACCGGCACCTGCTCGCCCGACTCTGGCCCCGCTGCTGCGCTGGGCACGCCCAACTCAGCAACCGCGCCCATGCTGCCCATGGTGTGCAGTGGCATCCCCATCGACCCTGCTGATGGTCAGTGCACGCGCCTGCGCCCTCACAGGCCCTTTCCTCCTTGCTCGCACTCCACTTGCCTCTGACCCATTCTTACCTCTGCTCAAACCCATGCTTGCTGTCAATCCGTGAACCTGGTTTTCCCTCTTCCCCACCTCCCTCCCCCCTCTGCCTTGCTAGCTCTAGTGCTGCTGACGCTCAAGTCGACGCTGAGTGTGATGCTGAGCAACTGGAATGCGGCATCGCTGTGCACGCTGGAGGGGCAGACGCTGCTGCCCGCGCAGTGGGGCGGCGTGCGCTGCACTGCTGCCGGCAAAGTGACGAGCATGTAAGTGATGGGTGGGCTGCTGAGTCACAGTAGCGAGTGGGTGCATTATTCAAGAGGTGGAGTGGGAGCACGTGCAATGTGGGTGCTGGTGCTGCTCTTGCCGTTCCCCATGCTTTGTGCCTCTCACTCATCCACCGCCTCTCCTGCTCCTCCCTCTCATTGCCACGCAGTGCGCTCATACGGCAGAGTCTGCAGAGCATCCTTCATCTGGACATCTCCAAGCTCACCACTCTCACATACCTGTAAGCCCAGCACACTCACACTTCATCTTCACATGCCATGAGCATTATGACAGTGCGAATGGAGGGAAGGGTGCAGTGCGTGCACGCTATGTCCCCTCACTTGTCTGTGGGCTGTCCGTGTGTGAGACGCGACCCACGCGTGTGACCTCATCTCGTTTCCCTTCCCCCCCCCTCCCTTCTGTTAGAAATAGGCTGTCAACACTTCGTGTACTCTATATTATATGGTTTAGGTTATTTGCGGGTTGGGTGTAGATTTGTAATCCCAACCCTATCTGGTTGGGATTCCCTCGTAATCCTGCAAATCTGCCAACTCACCAATTGGAGATTTGCTAGGATTCCCATCCCATCCTTTCCCTAGCTTTGCTCAACCCAACCTTGTTTGTACTTAAGGCCTAGTGCCTTCTTGATCAATCAATCAGTTCAGCTCCAATTCTAACACCTTCCCCCTCCCCCCCCCTCCTCTTCTTTTCGCCTTTCAGGGACCTGGGGTACAACCTCTTCCAGGGCCGCCTGGATCTCTTTGCTGCTCCACTTAAGCCCCTCACCACCCTCAAGGCGCTGTAAGACTGTCACCCCCTTCATGCGTCAAGTCCTTTCCTATCATGACTCTCCACTCGCCACTCGCCACTCTCCACTCTCCACTCGCCACTCGCCACTCGTCATGGAGCTCCACACCACAGTGCGTGCTGGGCTGTGCTGGCCCAGCCTAACACGTCTAGCAGCCTTCCATGAATCCTAAAGTTTCTCTAGCGGCCTGCCATCATTCAATCTAGCATCTGCTTACTCTCTTCGATTGTTGAGCGTCCCCTCCTCTTTGTTGAGTATCCCCCATATCTTCCCCCCTCAAATCTCATTCCCCCCCCCTCCCCTGGTCCATCGCAGCTTCTTCCACTACAACTATTTCGCCGGCTCCATTCCATCTGCCATCGCCACGCTGCCTCAACTCACATCACTGTAAGCCAACCCTGCACCACCACCCCTAGATTCACTCTGATAAGCAGACAGTTTAGGGTCCCTTCCCTCCCAGTACATACAGGCCCATGACCTTCCATGCATCACTCACAACAAAGTGCTTCTTTTCTTATGCTCCAAACTTCAACTCTATGCTACATCTCCCTCTCATCTCCCTCTCCCCTCCCCCAGTGGCCTCTTCTCCAACTACCTCACGGGCACCGTACCCATCCCCTCAAAGGCCCTTGTCGCCCTAGACGTAGGCTTTAACTTCCTCTCGGGCACCTTCCCGAAGCTGCCGCTCATGTTCTGTGCGGGCGACAACAACTGCTTCCTCAACTCCACCGCCTGCCGCACCTACGGCATCGTGCAGCGCCCTGCCGGCGCCTGCGCCATCTGCGGCACCGTGGCCGGCCAGGGCGACCTCTGCTTCGGCGGCTCCTGCGCTCCCCTCGCCTCTGCTGCTGTCACCGCCAGCACTGTCAACTCGCCTAACCAGCCTATTCTGCCCATGGCATGCGCAGGTCGGTGTGTGGCATGTGCAGGTCGGTGTGTGTGCCATGTGTTGCAAGGCCTGGCAGTCAAAATTTTCCCCTTAGTCAATCACAGGTTTACACCTTTGCATCCCTTTTTTATCGCTCCGCCGCTTGTCACCATCGCTGTGACCCTCACCATGCCTCCTGCAATGCCTCACCTCACGCCCTTCTCCTCTCTCTGTCTTTTTCCGACACTCCCGTTGCAGACAATCCGGCCGCACCGATGGATACAGGCTCAGGTGCGTTCACACAGCACGCAAAAGTTGCGGCCTCATGCTTCATGGCTCACATGCTTCACTGCCTCTTATCTCCCAACCTCTATGTGTCGCATCCCTCACACACCTACCCCATCTCCCCTTTCTATCGCCCTCTTGAGTGTCATTTCCAAATTCCCAACGCTCCCTCCTCTCCCTCCCTCCCTCTCGCCCACAGCGCTTGCGCTGCTGAACGTGAAGTCAGCGCTGGGAGTGACGTTCACCAGCTGGCTGGCTGCATCGCCCTGCGCCATTGCCAACTCCACCATTGCCGTCGCCGGCACCTGGACTGGCGTGCTCTGCTCCTCCGCTGGCGACGTCCTCAGCGTGTCAGTGCTCCCCACCCCTGCTGCCCGCCCCTTGCTGCTGCATGCAACTCTTTCCTCTTCAAACTGCTGATGATTTTCTGCTGATCTGCGTAGTTTCTGCACTCTGCTCTAGCGGTGACAATCTCGGATGCAATCAACCTCCCCTCTCTCCTTCCTGCCCATGTCCGTGGTCCCTGTCATTCCCATCCCCATGCATGCAGCAACCTGTCCTCCGCCGTCGCTGGCACCATTCACACCGACATCACCAAGCTCACAGCCCTCACCTACCTGTCAGTGCCCTCACCTACCTGTCAGTGCCGTTGTCTTTCTACCTGTCTTCCCCTCCCCTACCTCACTGCCTTATCCGATGCCCTCTGCGTTCCATTTCCATGTCCCTCCTCGCATGTTTTCTGCCTGCTTTCCCGCCTCACATGCGTGCAGCAACTGAGCAAGCATCTTCCACCTCAACACTGCCTTTCCTCCCCACTCCTGCGCCTGCCCCATGCACCCTCTCTCCCGTCCACCCCCTCAGCGACCTGTCCAATAACTTCCTGCGCGGAAGCCTTGACAAGTTTGTCACCTTCTCGGGCCTCAAGACGCTCCTGCAGCTGTCAGTGCTGCCACCCTCACCCACAGCGCCCTCACTGCCCTCACCCATGCCGCTTCGATCCACCCTGCTCTCGAACATGTTGCTCGACTCGGTGCTCTCCTCATTCGCATTGCTCCCGCTTGTGCCCTCACGAGTTACATGGGCTGCAGCACACACACACACCGTGGGCAATCATCTTGCCCACACAGCCATGCATTGCATACCGCTACTCTTTGTGCTTTGCATTCAGCTCCACCTCTCTTGCCTTGAACCCTTCTCCCTTTCTCCGTCTCCTGCCAGGCGCCTCAACAACAACTGGTTCGTGGGCTCCCTGCCTCAGACACTCATGTCATTTTCTGCACTCAGTCTGCTGTAAGGGTCCACAAGACATGAAGAGACTCAACCTGCCACTTTCAGCATTTCAAGCCCTAACTACAATGTGCACCAGCCACCGCAGCATGTTTCCCCCACACTTACTTGCTGCGCCTTCCTCTCCCCTCCCCCCTCCTTTCTCCTGCCCCTCTCCACCTTTTCCACCCCAGAGATGTGCATGCAAACGCGCTGACAGGGTCGTTTCCTGCCGTGTCATCGGTGCTGCGCGCGCTCTACCTGCACGACAACTTCCTAGCAGGCAGCTTCACAACTTCCTCTCTCACCGCGTGTGACCCCAGCCTCAACTGCTTCCTCAACGCCGTCGCGTGTGGCGCCACCAGCACCACCCAGAGGGCCGCTGCTGCCTGTGCCATCTGTGACAGCCCAGCAGCGCAGGGGCAGCTGTGCTGGGGCGGCACGTGCATGCCCAAAGTCTCCCCCACCACCGCCCACCCTGACGGGCTGGCCCCGCCGGCCATGTACTGCGCTGGTGCGTCTCCTCGTGCCCCTTGATGCTTCCTCTTTCCCGGTTGTGAGTGGGAAGCTTGCTCCGCTTCACAATGGCCTTCTCATCCCTGAGAACCCCCATACCGTCTCCGGCTCTTGCTTGTTTGCACACTCACTCCCTTCTCCTCCCGTGCCCATGCCCTTGAATGCCCATGGATGCCCCTGAATGCCCATGGATGCCCCTGAATGCCCATGGATGCCCCTGAATGCCCATGGATGCCCTTGAATGCCCATGGATGCCCCTGAATGCCCATGGATGCCCCTGAATGCCCATGGATGCCCCTGAATGCCCATGGATGCCCCTGAATGCCCATGGATGCCCCTGAATGCCTATGGATGCCCCTGAATGCCCATGGATGCCCCTGAATGCCCATGGATGCCCCTGAATGCCTCTGACCGAAATGTCACTGTTCGCCTTTGAATGCCTCTGCTTGGTGCCTGATGCAGGGGCTCCGGTGGTCAACATCGGCCCTATTGATGGTGAGAGCTGCCGTGCCTCACACCGTCATGCTGCTCGCGCTTCACCTTGCTGTGCCCAGCCATTCCTTGCATGCATTTCGCAGTCATGCCATTCCCCCATGTGCTCCCCATCACTTGTAGCACCACACTCCCCATCCACCATTCTGCATGTTAGAGATATGTTGTCAACACATTTATGTACTCGATCGTGTGTCGTGTAGGTTATTTGTAGGTCGGGTGTAGATTTGTTATCCCAACATGATTTGGTTAGGATTTCCGCCAACTCATCATTGGAGATTGCTTGGATTACCATCCCATCTTTTCCCTAGCTTTGCTTATCCCAACCTTGGTTGTACTTAATGCCTAGTGCCTTCTTTCTTGATCAATCAGTTCAAGCTCCATCTCTATGATGTTCCCCGTCATGCCGCCTCTCCAATGACCACGAGCCCCCCTCATGAATAACTCTCTCCCTTGCCTGCTCTCCTTCACCTTCCCCCCCTCCTCTCCCCCCCCTCAATTGCTGCGTGGCAGCGCAAGCGCTGGGAGCGCTGAAGAATGTGATGGGAGTGACGTTCACCACGTCGGATCCTGCCACCTACTGCACCGTGGCGCCCACCGCCATCGTCCCCGGCACGTGGGACGGTGTGCTCTGCGACTCCGCCGGCAAAGTTGTCAGCCTGTCAGTCCGCCTGCTCTACCCCTGCTGTGCTCTTCTTCTCTCCATGCATTGGCTGGGTCTACCTGTCTTTACAGCTGCCTCTGCATGCCAACTCTCTCTAAGAACCCTCGCTCCTGTACCTTCCACTGCCACTTCCTTCTGCACTCAGCACCTGTATCCGTGCCTTGTGTGTGTCCCACCGTGCCTTGTGTGTGCCCCACCATGTCTGCTTGCCCTGCAGGCAACTAGCCAACAGCAAGCTCACGGGCACTCTGCCGCTCTCCGTCTCCGCCCTCACGGCGCTCACTGCCATGTGAGCCCTCCCCTCTATGCCCGCTGCACTTCATTTTCCTCCATGCACCCTGTAACCCTAAACCCGAAATCCTGTGCCCCTCTCCTCATTCACTCCCCTCTCTGCCCCTCCCCTCATCCCTCTCTCCTCTCTTCCGCTCTCCACATTATCTATCCTCCCTGCCCCTCTCCTCATTCTCTCTCCTCTCCGCCCCTCTCCTCATTCTCTCTCCTCTTCTTGCTGCCCCTCCCCCCAGCGACCTCACCTCCAACCTCTTGTAGGGTCGCCTGGACGAAGTTGCCACGCAGCTGCGCCTGCTCACCAACCTCAAGTCCATGTGCGTCTCCCTCGATCTGCTCTCATGGGATGTCTCAAAGGAATCAGTTGTGTGGGAATTACCATAGCGCTGAGGGCATGCTCTTGCCAACGCTAGACCCAACTGTGTGTGGATCACAGGCGGAATTGCACAGCATGTGCATGTGCTCACTCATTCATTCTTAGCGACGGGGTGCTTCTTTTCTGCATCGATTTTGTCTTTCAACATTTGCGTTCCATCAATCTTCTCAACCACTTGTGTCTGCACCTCTGCGTCCCAACCCACCCCAACTCTGCATCTATTCCCCATCCCATCCCGTGCTACAGCGATCTCGCCTACAACTGGCTCTCCAGCTCGGTGCCTGCATACATGCTCACTCTCCCCAGCCTCACTGAGCTGTAAGCCCCAAATCCTGTTGTTTCCTCTCCTCGCATGCAGTTTCTTCTTTTGCTCCTTTCCTCCCCCTTTGGACTGTCTAAATGCCAAATAACTTTGACTTCTTCTCTGCTTAAATCGAGACCAGTCCTTCCACACTCTCACATCATGCTGACTCGTCTAGTACATCCTTCTCCTCACGACCGTGCCCGCTGCTCTGCTCCGCAGCACGATTGGCTACAACTACCTGACGGGTGCACTGCCCCCGGTGACACCCCCGCTCTCAGTGGTGGACGTGCAGTTCAACTTCCTCGCCGGCACCTTCCCCATGCTCACCCTCACCCTCTGCGCTGCGCGCATGAACTGCTTCCTCGACGCCACCAAGTGCAAGAACCCCAACCGCGCCTCCGAGCTCCCACGAGCTGCCGCCTCCTGCGCCATCTGCAACACCACCAACGCGCAGGGCCGCCTGTGCAACGGGGGGGTGTGCACTGTGAACGCCACGGACCTGGTGGCTCTGGGCGCGCCCAACAGCGCCGCGTCTCCCTCTCTGCCGCTGATCTGCGTGGGCGCGGCGTTTGTGGCGATGGATGCCGTGCACGCGGGTGCCATGCTCAACATCAAGGCGTCGCTGGGCGTCACTTTCACTGACTGGAAGGCCGGCTCGCCCTGCTCCCTTCCAGGCGGCGTCGCTGCCGGGTCGTGGAGCGGAGTCACCTGCGATGGCACCGGCAAAGTGTTGGGCATGTGAGTGAACACGCACTATTGGCAGGTGCAACTGAATGCCTATAGCACATGGATGCCATATTTTTGGCAAGACTTATATGTTCTCTCTCTATTCTTTATGTGTCCTTGTTTGTTTGTCGCCTCTGCAGAGTCGTTAACTCGCAGTTGCTTGCGGGCAGCATCCACTCAGACATCTCCAAACTCGCCACGCTCACAAGCCTGTGGGTCCTAACGCTCATCTCTCCACCTTTCGAACGGTCCATTGTGTTAAAAACACCAAGGTACATGCAAGGTAAGGCAACACCTACACACTGCAGAGCTACAGCAGCAAACTACTAGCCTAGCACAACTACAGCCACACCTTCCCCTTCGCCCTAGTGGCCGGAGGGGTCTTCTATCAGTAAGTCTTCTATCACTAGGTCTTCTATCTGTAGGTCTTCTATCAGTAAGTCTTCTATCAGTAAGTCTTCTATCAGTAAGTCTTCAATCAGTAGGTCTTCTATCAGTAGGTCTTCTATCAGTAGGTCTTCTATCAGTAAGTCTTCTATCAGTAGGTCTTCTATCAGTAAGTCTTCTATCAGTAGGTCTTCTATCAATAGGTCTTCTATCAGTAGGTCTTCTATCTGTAAGTCTTCTATCAGTAGGTCTTCTATCAGTAAGTCTTCTATCAGTAGGTCTTCTATCATTAGATCTTCTATCCGTAAGTCTTCTATCAGTAGATCTTCTATCAGTAGGTCTTCTATCAGTAAGTCTTCTATCAGAAGGTCTTCTATCAGTAGGCCTTCTATCAGTAGGTCTTCTATCAGTAAGTCTTCTATCAGTAGGTCTTCTATCTGTAGGTCTTCTATCAGTAGGTCTTCTATCAGTAAGTCTTCTATCAGTAGGTCTTCTATCAATAAGTCTTCTATCAGTAGGTCTTCTATTAGTAAGTCTTCTATCAGTAGGTCTTCTATCAGTAGGTCTTCTATCAGTAGGTCTTCTATCAGTAGGTCTTCTATCAGTAGGTCTTTCTATCAGTAAGTCTTCTATCAGTAGGTCTTCTATCAGTAAGTCTTCTATCAGTAGGTCTTCTATCAGTAGGTCTTCTATCAGTAAGTCTTCTATCAGTAAGTCTTCTATCAGTAGGTCTTCTATCAGTAGGTCTTCTATCAGTAGGTCTTCTATCAGTAGGTCTTCTATCAGTAGGTCTTCTATCAGTAATTCTTCTATCAGTAGGTCATCTCCACCTCTCACTCTCACCCATCTGCAACGTCATTGTCTGCCTGTCTGCTGCTCCGCGCTGCTCCTGGGCGCTTCTGCCCTGTCCCCAAATTAAGGCGCCACTGTCCATTGTGCCTTGCATGCTCGTGTTTTGCCTGCGTGGCTGTGCCCTGCAGTGACCTGCAGTCCAACCTGCTGCAGGGGCGGCTGGACTCCTTCACAGCCAGCATCAAGACGCCCCTCGTGCTCAAGGAGATGTTGGTCACTGCACCCTGCCACCGCTCCTTGTACCCATGCATGCATGCATGCATGCACACACCCATCCATCCTCGCGTTGGGCCATGCACGATGTGTCCTACGCTGCACATTCTCTTACTCTGCATCATTCACTCACTGCCTCCTCTCCCTCCACTTTCCAACGCCTTCTGTTTCCCTCCTCCCCCCCCCCCCCCCCCTCCCCCTCTCCCATGCACTGTGCTGTAGTGTGCTGCAGTTCAACTACCTGTCCGGCCAGTTCCCCACCGCCCTCCTCGCCCTCACCACTCTCTCCAAGCTGTGAGTGCTCTCCCTCCTGTCTGCTGCCTCCTTTTCGCCTCACCTTCTTCCTTTGAGGCGCCTAAAAAATGGTCCCCATCACCCTCACGACTCTCTCCAAGCTGTTAGTGCACCCTCCTCCCTTCCCCCCCTTTTTCTGCTGCCTGCTTTCTGCCTCACCTTACCGCACCCTCCAATCATACAGCATCTATCTCACCCCTTCCATCCTTCCCCACTCGTGTCTCTCCCCTCTGCCCTCCCTCTGTCCTCCCCCTTCCCTCCACAACCCCCCCACCCTCTCAGCTCCGTGGGCTACAACTACCTGACGGGCCCCTTCCCAACCGTGCCGGCATCAGCCAAGTCGCTGGACGTGCAGGGCAACTTCCTGTCAGGCGCCTTCCCCACCAACGCGCTCACCTACTGCGCCGCCACCACCAACTGCCTCACCGACGCCAACAACTGCGCCTCCCTCGGCATCACCCAGCGCTCCGCCACAGACTGTGCCATCTGCGGCACCGCCTTTGGCCAGGGCACGCTATGCGGCGGCGTGCCGTGCCTCGTCAACACCACGGGGGTCACCGCGCCTCCCACTGCCACGTCTCCCCCTTGCAACCTCTACTGCACGCCAGTCGCCTTGGACACCAACACCAGTGAGTACCGGGCACACAAGCAACCCCCTCTTGTGCTCTCTTCCCCCACTTCCTCCTTTCCCCACCCCTCCCCCCTCACTGGTTCGTCCTCATGCCCTCCCTCTCCTCTCCTTGCCTCCCACGTGCAGCCACAACGCTGCTGGCGCTGAAGACGGTGCTGGGAGTGACGGCCACGGAGTGGAGTGCAACGACGGTGGCACTGAAGCCCAAGGCGTTGAAGAGCAGCAGCGTGCCCCTCGCCACCATGGTGGGCGCCTGCACCGTGGAGGGGCAGACCCCTGCTCCTGGCTCGTGGACCGGCGTCTTCTGCAACTCCGCTGGCGCCATTGTCGCCCTGTGAGTGCCCACCTGCTGTGAGTCTCATGTCATTCCCGCTTCTTTCCGTCCTACCACCCACACGTACACTCATTCGTCTTCTCTCCCTCATGATCTCTTTGCCCCTGCCTTCCCTTCCACGTACTCCACCGCTTTCCTTGACCAACCTGCAGGTTGCTGCCGAATCAGAAGCTGACTGGAAGCCTGTCGACGGACATCGCCAAGCTCACAGCTCTCACTGCGCTGTGCGACTCGCTTTCCATGCCCATACACCCATGCACGCTTACGCGCCCATCCACACGCGGCCAAACCTGCCGTCACTTCACTCATGCCGCTGCCGCGCTTCAGTGGGGCACTGGATTGCAGCTTTCTCCCAGCGCACTCAATTCTCGTTTTTGCAAAAAGCCAGTTTCCATGCATAGTGCTGCCTCAAGGGCTTAATAGATGTCCTATCTCTGTCTTGGAATGCATGCGTGTGATAGCATGTGCATGTGTGTGGTGGTATGCGCATGTGTGGTGGTTTGTGCATGTGTGTGGTGGTTTGTGCACGAGTGTGTACATGCACATGTGCGTTGTGGTATGTGCACATGTGTGTGTGCATGTGCATGTGTATATCCATGTGCAATTGTGTATGCATTTTCACGTGTGTGGGCACGGGCATGTGTGTATGCATGTGCACGTGTGTGAGCATGTGCATATATGTGTGCATGCGATGGCATCCACGTGCCTGCACAACACTGCTCGCACGCATGCAGGGATCTGAGCGCCAACCTCTTCCAGCAACGCTTCGATTTGTTTGTTTCGCTCTTCAGCACTCTCAAGACACTCAAGTCCCTGTAAGTGCTGCACTCAGTACTGCACTCACCGACACGTGCTGCACTCACCACCACCTGCCTCTGCCAGCACCGCCTTTCTTTTCTCTGCACCCACCCAGGCGTGTCGGAGCACCAGCATTCACCGCCCCATCCCTCACACTGCAGCCCTTACCTCAATGCATGAACATCCATCCGCCCTGCCCACTGGCAGGTCGCTGCAGTAAAACTGGTTCTCCAGCTCCATCCCCTCCGCCCAGCTCGCCCTGCCAGCCCTCTCCAGTGTGTGAGTGCCCCTCCCTCACCACCCTTGCTGTCCTTGCACCCCTGTGGGAGCCCCTCACCACCCTTGCCGTCTGTCCCATTAATTATATCCCTAGGCCTTGCCTCGGCCACCACCCGTCACTCCCCACCCACCATTGTTTCAACTCTGCCGTTTCCACTCCCCTCCCTCCATTCCGCCCACTGCTGCTCACAACAAGCTGAACCGCAACTACCTGACGGGGGTGGTGCCGGCGATGGGCGCAGCAGTGAAGGTGCTCAACATGGCGGGCAACTTCCTCTCGGCCTCCTTCCCCACCACCGGCGTCACAGCCTGCGATGCGCGCTCCAACTGCTTCACAGACGCCTCCAAGTGCGCCAACACGCTCGGCACGGCGCAAAGAGCCACTGCAGACTGCAACGTGTGCGGCTCCACGGGGGCTGCAGGCCCGCTGTGCGGCGGCGGCTTCTGCATCCCCAACGCTGCCGCGCCCGCCGCTGCCGGCACGCCCAACATTGAGGGGCAGGCGCTGCTGACTATGTCCTGCGTGGGCGGCCCCATCGAGGTCAACATGCGCGGCGCCATGCTCAACCTCAAGGCGTCGCTGGGGGTGACTCTCACTGACTGGGCTGCTGCGTCGCCGTGCACCATTGCAGGCCAGCCCTCTGTGCCAGGGGCGTGGACTAACGTGGTCTGTGACACGGCGGGCAAGGTCGTGAGCATGTGAGTCGGCACAGTGACGTTTGGACTCTCTGTGCGTAGCTTCAACGTGATTCCTGTTGGGCGCAGCCACTGCATCAAGGTGCATGTATTGCTCCGTTGCATGATGCCTGCTAATGACTCTCGTTTGCGTCCCCCTCCCATCGCTGCGCTCGTGCCTGTGCTTCTCTGCAGCGACCTCACGAATCAGCTGTTGAAGGGCAGCATGCATGCTGACATCACCAAGCTCACCATTCTCACCTCCTTGTAAGCTCATCACTCTCACCTCGCCTCGGATGGATGGGAAGGAATTTTGGGGCAATCCCAAGGGGGTCGCTATAATCTTTAATTGGTGGGTCGGAGCTTTGAGGTGATCACATCACATGTTAGATAAGGTTGGTACGTTGGTGTACCACCCAACCCACATAAACTACAAACTTTGCTTAATAAGGATATAAAAGTACAAAACACATAGTTGAGTTTGAGGGCTAACTCTCACACCGGGCCCACCCTGCCTCTCTCCCCTGCCTGCCCACCCGCAGCAATGCAAAATTCAACTACTTGGCAGGCCCGCTGCCGTCCGCGCTGCTCACTCTGCCCACCCTCACCAGCCTGTAACTCCTCACTCCATTCTCACACCTCCATCTCTGCACACCTCTCGAATCGCTGCTGCTGCTCATGTCCTCCCTTCTACTGCCCATATCCTCCGCTTGCCTCATACATCCACTTTTTACCATCCCATCCCATCCTGTACCAAACGTGGAAGCCTTCTGACCCCCTTGCCTGTGTGCGCGCCCGCCACCTCCACCCACGCGCCCCTTGCTGTTCCCCACTGCCAGCGATGTGAGTTACAGCTACCTCACAGGGACCGTGCCTGCGCTGGGCACGGCGCTCAAGAACCTGCGCATAGGAGGCAACTACCTGTCGGGCAGCATCGGCACGCTCAGCGGTGTGACGTGCTCGGCGTTGTTCAACTGCCTCACCTCCCAGGGCAGCTGCACCACTGGCGGCACTCAGAACCGAGTCGGTTGTGCCATCTGCGGCAGCACCAACGCCCAGAGCACTCTGTGCGGCGGCGGGATGTGCGTGCCCGATGCCACGGCTGCAGTTGAGAGCAACACGACCCCCACGCTGTCCACGCCTGCCGTGCCCATGTACTGCACCGGCGTCATCATGGACGCCACTGCAGGTGATGCGCTGCTGCCCTGCCCTGCCCTCCCTCCCATCCTTCCACACAACGTCTTCCACCCTTCTCCACCCCACCCTTGTGCCTGGTGGCTTGCTGCTCACCAGCCACCATCCCTTGCCATACATGCCATGTGATATTGCCTCCCCCCTCTCTTTGCCTCGCTCTCCTCCAAGACCTCTCTCACACTCATTTCTGTCCTCTTGTCTCGAACACTTTGTGCGATGTGCCAGTGACTACACTCGCCAACATAAAGACGGCGCTTGGAGTGACCTTCACGGACTGGGTGGCCCCCACGGCGCTGCTCAAGCCCAAGGCGGCGGGCAGAACGGGCAGTGGCAGTGTGGCGCCGACGGACTGGCTCACCACGGGCGGCTACTGCACCATGGACGGGCAGACCCCCGTCGCCGGCTCCTGGTCCGGCGTGCTCTGCAACTCCCTCGGCCAGCCCGTCAACCTGTGAGTGTCCCCTCCTACCCTCACCCCCTGCAGCAACATTGTTTTCCTTCTGAATCTACTGCTTTGCCTGACGCACTGCCTCTCTTGCTGTTCAAGCCTCCACCGATGCATGCAACCTTGGCAGCACCTAACTTGCCTCCCCGCCATGCTCCTCCCTCGTCCCCACCCCATGCTGCCAGGAATCTGAACAATCAGAGGCTCACCGGCTCTTTCCATGCTGACATCAGCAAGCTCTCCTTGCTCACCGTGCTGTGAGTGCCGCCCGCACCCTGCTCGTTGCTGAGTGCTGCCACATGCTGCCCTTTGCTGAGTGCCGCCCATGCTACCTTCTAGTGAGCGCCCATGGGGCCATGTCCTCGTGGCCGCACTCCTTGCCGCCATCATGCCTTTCCCACCCTTGGCCTCCCTCCCTGCGCCCTCTGCTGCTGCACGCGCAGGGATGTGAGCTACAATTTCTTCAAGTCCAATCTCGACACCTGGGCTGCGCCCCTCAAGCTCTCCATCAACCTGGTGTCGCTGTGAGTGCCGTGTCAACCTGGTGTCGCTGTGAGTGCCGTGTCAACCTGGTGTCACTGTGAGTGCCGTGTCAACCCTGTGTCGCTGTGAGTGCTGTGTCAACCTGGTGTCGCTGTGTGTGCCGTGTCAACCTGGTGTCGCTGTGAGTGCCGTGTCAACCTGCTGTCGCTGTGGGTGCCGTGTCAACCTGCTGTCGCTGTGAGTGCCGTGTCAACCTGCTGTCGCTGTGAGTGCCGTGTCAACCTGCTGTCGCTGTGAGTGTCGTGTCAACCTGCTGTCGTTGTGATAGCCTTGCTTGAGAGGACATGATGCGGTCAACCCGGTCCTCCTCTCTGACCACCCCTCCTTGCCTGCCGCCTCTCTTCCCCCCCTGCCTGCAGCCGCCTCAACAACAACTATTTCTACGGCTCTGTACCTCTCTCGCTCGTCTCTTTCTCCAAGCTCACCAACCTCTAAGCCCTGCCCGACCCTACCCCACCCTGCCCAACCTTGCCTGACCCGATCCCACCACCTTGCCCACTCCTTCCCAGCCTCCTCATCCCCCTCTAGCCTCGTGCCGTTCTCCATCCGCTTTCCATCACGCCTCCCCCCTGCTCCCATTCTTCGCCTACCTCTCCTCTGCCGTGCTCGCCCCGTCAACACCGCCACCTCTTGTGCCCCATGCGCCCATGCCCCTGCACCCTTGCCCTCCCCTCTTGCCCCACACCGCTGTCTCTTGCCCAAAATCTTCAACTTTGAACCCGCATCCGCCCGCCGCCCTGCTCTCCCCCTGGCCTGCCTACAGAGAGCTGAACATGAACGCGCTCACGGGCACGTTCCCGGCACCCATCTCCACCGCACTGAAGCGCCTGCTGGTGGACCGAAACTTCATGGCGGGAACGTTCCCCGCCAAGAGCGCCACGTACTGCACAGCCTACGGCAACTGCATCTTCTCCTACACCATGTGCAACTCGCTGTACCCCAACTCCCCCGTTGGCAACTGCAATTACTGCGGCACCACCAATGGGCTGGGCACGGCGTGCATGGGCAACCCGTGCATGCCAGTGACACCGTCGCCCATCACGGCCACCAACCGATGGGACCCCATGCCCACCATGCGCTGCGACCCCGTGCCCGTCCATGCCTCCCAAGGTAACCCTCCCACCCACAGGTCTGACCCCGGCTTGAGGGCTTGAGGGATATGCACCTTTCGCACCCGCTCTCCGCACTGGCGTTTTTCTGGGGCGTGTTACGCCTTCTGTTCTCTCCCTTCTCTTCTCTCCCTTACCCCCTGCAATGCAAGAATGAAGAGTTCAAAGCGTTCTCTCTTCCTGCACTCTCTGCACCTCCCCTCCCTTCCCCCCTTTCCCCCCTTCTCCCCATGCTGCATGGCAGCGGCGGCGCTGCAGGCGATGGTACCGGGGCTGTGGACGCAGCCGATGTGCACGCTAGCGGGGCAGGCCTACGTCCCCGGCATGCTGCCGTTGGCCTTCGGCAACCCCGCCGGCATGGTGCTCGACATGTACGCCCCCTTTGCTCACCGCCCTGCTCGCCCCCTGCTCGCGCCCTTCTCGCACCCTGCTCGCCCCCTCGCCCCCTGCTCGCGCCCTTCTCGCGCCCTGCGCGCCCCTTGCTCGCCCCTGCTCGCCCCCTGCTCGCCCTGCCCGCATCAGCCTTCCACCCTGCTGTCTGTGCCCACACCGTCACACCTTTGATGGGGTGCATGCCCCATGCAAGCCTCATGCGTGTGGGCTGTCTGTCAGCCGGCTGTGCACATGATGTGCTCACGAGGTTAATTCACTTGTCATCACACATGGGGCCAACCACCTTGCATTCTCGTCATCACAACTCTGTGTCACGTGTTGCCTCACAGTGTTCTCTCGGGGGTCAAAGCAAACGGCTTCTTCCCCACCGACTCCTCAAAGCTCTCCGCACTCACCAAGCTGTAAGCTCTCCGCACTCACCAAGCTGTAAGCTCTCCGCACTCACCAAGCTGTAAGCTCTCCGCACTCACCAAGCTGTAAGCTCTCCGCACTCACCAAGCTGTAAGCTCTCCGCACTCACCAAGCTGTAAGTTGCACGCCACATGCCACAATACTCTCATCCCATCACACGTCACTGCAATTCGCATCACACTCCCTTGCGCTCCTCTCGCCTGTTGACCACGCATTTGACACCAGAGAGCGTGTGTGTGTGCCTGTGAACCAATACCAAGTTACTGACATCTGTATGCGTGTGTGTGTGTGCTGCACGTGTGCTCTGTGTGTGTGCGCTCTGCTGTGCCACGTGGCAGGGACCTGTCGGTCAACCTCTTCACAAACCGCCTTGACTCCTTCCTCGGGCCCTTCATTCCCATCAAGACTCTCAACTACCTGTAGGCCACCCACCCTCGCACCCCTGTGAGAATCTCATGTTTGATGTTTCACCACTCCTGCTGCCTTTCTTCCTGGACTCTCTGCATCTCTCACTGCCTGCACACCCTTCACCCCCTCTCTGCTACGCCCATGCGTGCAGCTGCCTCCACCAGAACTACTTCTCGGGCTCCTTCCCAGCCAGCATCTCCGCCCTCACTGCCCTCACGGAGCTGTAAGCGCCTTCAAAACCTGAAACACCATTCAGTGCCCCATCCTTATCCATCCATGCCTCACCACAACAGCTCACTTTACTCCTCATTTCCCTTTTTCACTCCGCCCCTCTTGTCCGCGCCTCCCACACGTTCCAATCCCCTTGCAACGCTGTCCACCGCTGGCCACCGTTGGGCCATGGCAATGCAGGCGGCTGAACCTGAACTACCTGACGGGGAGCATGCCGGCAGCGCTGCCAGCAAGCCTCAAGGTGATCGACCTGTCGAGCAACTATCTGGTGGGCACCTTCCCCACCACCACTGCCACCTCCGTCGCCTGCGCCAGCAACTGCCTGCAGGACGCCTCCAAGTGCCCCGCCGGCTCTGCTCAGCGCGCTGCAGCCGCCTGTGCCATCTGTGAGACGCCCGATGCGAGGGGCAGGATGTGCGGCGGCGGCATCTGCACTCCCAACACCACGGTGGCTGTGGCAGCCGGCACCATGAACACGGGCTCGGCGTCGCTCTACTGCCTGGGCGCCTCCATGGATTCCATTATGGGTGAGAGCAATGGGGGGTGGGTGGGCCGTGTGGACTCCGCCCGACTTTATGTCGTTTGGGTTGATTCACCATTGCTGCATCCGTGCAGCCATGCTGCTCCTGCATGCTCACCCACCCCTGCTGTGTCTGTCCCCTGCTCTCTCCCTCCCCACCAACCCCTCTCCCTTGCTCCCCTCCTTGCTACTCGCAGCGGCGGCGCTGCTGAATGTTAAGGCATCGCTGGGGGTGACGTTCACGGACTGGGCGCTGGACTCGCCGTGCACCATCCAGGGGCTGCCGCCGCTGCCAGACGCCTGGTCCAACGTCGTCTGCAACGTCTCCGGCAAAGTCATGTCCATGTGAGTGGCAAATTCATGTCCATGTGAGTGGCACTTGAAGCAGGGTCATTGCACTGAGAGTGTGTCTGGGGTCAAATTCGTGTCCGTGTGATTGCCGATTGCAATGCGCGGCACTCCCCTTGGCACGCCCCTTTTTAAGATCTGTGAGCTGCTGATGAAATGCTTGCCCACGAGATTTAGTCTATAACGCGTATCCTTATGTGTGTTGTGCTGTGCGTATGTGTGGGCGTTGACGTTGGCAATGCGCAGCAACCTGGGGCAGCAGAGGCTCCAAGGGACCATGCATGCGGACATCTCCAAGCTCACTTCCCTCACCTACATGTAAGCAGCGGCCGCATGTCCATGTGAACCACTTATCAATCCATGTGCATCTGCTGCTGTGTTTGATTCATCCCACACCGCTCATCTCTCACATCTGTGCTTGTGTGTGCCGTGCTTGTGTGCGCTGTGCTTGTGTGTGCCGTGCTTGTGTGCGCTGTGCTTGTGTGTGCCGTGCTTGTGTGGCGGTGGCAGCAATCTGCGCTCCAACTTCCTGGAGGGCCGTCTGGACGTCTTTGCCGCCAACTTCAAGGCGCTCACGGCGCTCAAGGAAGCGTGAGTCCTGCCTTCATGGGATGGTAACACCGCACTGCACCGCAATGCATAGCCTTGCCTCCAGCAATTCTGCTGCCGGCCCATCCTCTTTCTGTCGTTCCTGTGTGTTGCGTCTCATCACCTCCTGAACGTCATACTTCCCCCCACTTTCCCCCCTACCACTCCCTCCTCACCTTACCCTCTCCTCTCCTCCCTGCATCCACCCGGCCTCTCCTCCCTGTGCCTCTGCAGCTACCTGGACTTCAACTGGTTCACAGGGCCCATCCCGTCAACCCTCGTCACCATCGCCACCCTCTCCACCTTGTGAGTTCCTCCTCATTGATAGCCTAGCCCCACCTCACTCTCACATCCAGCCGCTCAGAGCACTCTCACCTGCTCAAAGCACTCTCACCTGCTCAAAGCACTCTCAACAATCTCCATCACATGCTTCCTCAGTAACCCCTCCCTCTCCCACCCTCCTCCCGTAGTGGTGCCTCAATAACTCCTCCCTTACCTGCCCTCCCCCGCTCCCCACCGCAGTGGGGCGAGCTACAACTACCTGTACGGGTCCATGCCGGCTCCAGGCACGGCTCTCAAGACGCTCACGCTGGACGGCAATTGGCTGTCGGGCACCTTCCCCGGTACCGGCTTTTCCTCCTGCTCCGCCACCGCCAACTGCCTCGCCAGCATCAGCGCCTGCACCACGCTCGGCACCGTGCAGCGCGCCGCCGCTGCCTGTGCTGTCTGCGACACCGCCGACGGCTCGGGTACCGTGTGCGGCGGCGGCACGTGTGCGCCCGACACAGCTGTGCCGCTCGCCAGCAGCACTCCCAACAGCGCGACGGCGGCGGTGCTGCCGCGGTTCTGCGTGGGCGTGCCACTGGACGCCACGCAGGGCAACATTCTGTTAGCACTCAAGTCCACTCTGGGCGCCACCTTCTCTGACTGGACCGCCGCCACGCTCGCCGCCCCCAAGGCCACATCGACGAAGCCCAAGAAGGGGTCGAAGCGGCGGGTCCTCCTGCAAGGGAGGGGGTCGGGGCTGCTGTACGACTGGAAGGCGGTGGGTTCATGCACCATCCAGGGCCAGACACCCATTGCCGGCTCCTGAACTGGCGTACGCTGCTCTCCACTCGGCCAAGTCGTGGCCCTGTGAGTGCCGCCCCTCCTGCTGCTGCCCCTCCTGCGGCTGCCCCTCCCTCTGCCACCACACATTGGCTGTGCACCGCGTTTGCCTTTCTCTCACTCACCTCTCTCCCCTGTCCCTGTGTGCCCCTTCCGCTGTTGCATGTGCCCCCCCTGCTGCGTGGAATTCGTTGAGCAGAGACCTGAGGAGCCAGCTGTTGAGTGGCACAGTGCACTCCGACATCAGCAAGCTCTCCACCCTCACCTCGCTGTAAGAGATTCGTTCACTCACCTCGCTGTAACGTTCACTCACCTCGCTGTAAGTCAGTCGTTCACTCACCTCGCTGTAACGTTCACTCACCTCGCTCGCTGTAAGTCAGTCGTTCACTCACCTCGCTGTAACGTTCACTCACCTCGCTGTAAGTCAATCGTTCACTCACCTCGCTGTAACGTTCACTCACCTCGCTGTAAGTTAGTCGTTCACTCACCTCGCTGTAAGTCACTCGTTCACTCACCTCGCTGTAACGTTCACTCACCTTGCTGTAAGTCAGTCGTTCACTCACCTCGCTGTAACGTTCACTCACCTCGCTGTAAGTCAGTCGTTCACTCACCTCGATGTAAGCCACTCGTTTATTCACTTTGAGCTGACCTTCTGTGATGTCTGGCGCCCACATGCCATGCCATGGACTGTACTGCTTCTTGCTCTGATACCGTGTTAGAATCACCAGGCCGCTGCCTAAGTTGTTAGAAATACCATGTTTGTTCGGTGGGTAAGTAAGCACACCATGCCCCACACAATGGAACCTGCACCCCTTCCAGGGTGACTGTGTAATTCCTGTGGCCCCAGCAGCAACACTCGCTTGCTGACACAACATGGCAACCCTTGCCCTCTCTCTCGGTCTCTCCCCTTGGGTTTGCTTGTGTGCCATCCTCATCACCTACCCCCCCTCCTCCGTGCCTATTCTCTGATCACATCATTCCACCTCCCCCCTGCCGTGCATGCAGGCGGCTGTCGTCCAACCTCTTCTTCAGCCGCCTTGACTCCTACCTCGTGCCCATCACGCCCTCCGCCACCCTCAAGGAGCTGTCAGTGCCGCCACGCCTCTGCCCCTCTGTCTCCCCGTTCTCACTTTTAGTACCTCATCCCTCGCTTCTGCTCTCCTCCTCTACGTCGTCTTTGCTCTCTCCTATCCACCTCAGCCCAGCACACTGGATTCTCCCTTCAAGCTTTACTCCTTAAGTCTGCGCGTACATGCGTGTGCCCGTGCATATGCTACATGCGAATGTTCATCTGTATGCTGTCAAACATTATATATGTTGTGCTTGTTTAGGCTACAGTGGGTTAGCCTATAGGGGGTACACAATTCTAGGGTTAGGTACTTGTACTGATTTCACTGTTAGTTCAATCATTCCTGTTCATTCATTTCAACATGGTATAGAGCAGGTCCTTCCTAGGACCGATTTTTTAGGGCCCACCACTACCTACCTACCTGCGCCCTAGGGCGCCTCGGTTTTCACGGCCCTCTAAGGCCCTGCGGCCCGCGAATCGCCCCTTAGCGACTCGCGCGCCGCCCCTTAAGGCCCCGACGGCCCCGCGATCGCTCCTAACGGCCCCGTCGGCCCCGCGCTCACCTCCCTAGAGGCCCCCGTCGGCCCCGCGCTCGCCCCTAGAGGCCCCGAACGGCCCCTCGCTCGCCCTTAGCGGCCCCTTACGGCCCCGCGCTCGCCCCTAGAGGCCCCGAACGGCCCCGCGCTCGCCCTTAGCGGCCCCTTACGGCCCCGCGCTTGCCCCTAGAGGCCCCGATCGGCCCCGCGCTTGCCCTTAGCGGCCCCTTACGGCCCCGCGCTCGCCCCTAGAGGCCCCGAACGCCCCCCCCCCCCCCAGAACGAGCCGCCCGACCCGAGCAGCCCGAACCGAGCCACCCAGCCCGAACCGAGCCGCCCGAACCGAACCGCCGAGCCCGAACCGAGCCGCCCGAACCGAGCCGCCCAGCCCAAACCGAGCCGCGCCGCCCGAACCTAGCCGCGCCGCCCTTCCCGAGCCGCGCCGCCCTACCTGAACCGAGCCGCGCCGCCCGTACTGGACCGAGCCACCCTACCTGAGTCGCACTGCCTACTGTTTTTGGGGTGCCCCTACTGCTATTACTCCTACTACTGCTATGGCTAGCCCTCCTGTACTGGCTTTCGATGCTGAGGGCCGCCCAGTGAAGTTCGAAACCTAGCTAGATGACCTACACCTCTTCCTACAGCTCACTGCCAAGGAGGACATCTCACTGTACGATCACGCCCTAGGCCATGCTCCTGCTCCTGCTGCTACTGCTGACAGCACTGCCCGCTCACAGTGCCCAGCCATGTGGGGGACCGCACGCCACACAGCACTACTTCGCTCGTCTCAACGACGCTTGGCGTGTTCAGTTCCCTCAGGCCACTGAGCTGCCCCGCTGGGTTGATCTCCTAAAGAAGGGGATTGATATCTATGCTCTAGACTTTGATGCTGTTCACACTGCTATGTATGTGATGTCTACTAGTGGAGAGGGTGCTGAGTACCTGTGTGTGCCGCCCGACCCGGGCATTAGGACTAGTGCGTCTGCCGCTCTAGGTACTTGCGTGTCTGCTACCCCAGGTGCTGGTGAGGCAGCTGCTCTAGGTGCTTGTGCATCTGCCCCCCCTGGTACTGAGTCGACGGCAGCATTGCACACCTTCACACTGGACTCAGGTGCTTCTCGCTGCTTCTTTCGTGACCGCACTGCCCTTGAGCCGCTTGCTCGGCCAGTTGCTGTCTCCCTCGCTGACCCCTCTGGGGGTCCGGTCATTGCAACCTCCTCCACTGTCCTTCCCTGTCCTGCGGTCCCGTCGGGCACACTGTCAGGTCTCCACCTCCCCTCGTTCTCTACGAACTTGGTGGCAGGTAGTGCACTCCAGGACGGGGGTGTTCACCAGTTCACCCCTGCCTACGAGCGCGTGTCACACTGCACGTGTGCTCGTAAGGGCCGCCACTTGGCTACCTTCACTCGGCAGCCGGGGTCGGACCTGTACACACTGACCACTGAGTCCCCTCAGGTCGCTGCGTCTGCGTCTGCGTCCGCGTCAGGTCAGCTGTCTGCCCCCTGCTCGTGTAGCTCTCTGGCGCACGAGACTGTCCTCTGGCACCACCGACTTGGCCACCCGTCTGTGCAGCGCCTTCGTGCCATGCACTCCCGGTACCTTGTCTCCGGTCTTCCCAGAGTCCTCCCTCCCCTCCCACCCTCGCCTGCTCCTCCCTGTCTTCCCTGCGTCGAGGGGCGGCAGCGCGCCGCTCCTCACTCCTCCTCGTTTCCCCCGACGACTGCTCCCTTGCAGACGCTCCACATGGACGTGTGGGGCCCAGCCCGCGTCCGTGGTCAGGGTCAGGAGAGGTACTTCCTGATAGTTGTTGACGACTACTCGCGCTACACCACGGTCTTCCCCTTGCGCACCAAGGGTGAGGTCCCTGATGTCTTGATCCCTTGGATCCGCAGAGCCCGTCTCCAGCTCAGCGAGCGTTTCCACTCGGACTTTCCTGTCCTGCGCTTGCACTCTGACAGAGGTGGTGAGTTCTCCTCCGACCTCTTGGCAGCCTACTGTGCTGAACACGGCATTGAGCAGTCGTTCACGCTTCCGGCCTCACCACAGCAGAATGGGGTTGCGGAGCGCCGCATTGGCCTGGTCATGGAGGTCGCCCGTACCTCCTTGATCCATGCGGCTGCCCCCCACTTTCTGTGGCCGTTTGCGGTCCGGTACGCTGCGCATCAGCTCAACCTCTGGCCCCATGTCTCCTTGCCGGAGACCTCGCCCACACTGCTGTGGACGGGGGAGGTTGGCAATGCGTCGCGTTTCCGGGTCCGGGGATCTCGAGCTTTTGTCCGCGATACGTCGGCGGACAAGCTCTCCTCCCGTGCTGTTCCCTGCGTCTTCCTCGGCTTTGTCCCGGACGCGCCTGGTTGGCAGTTTTACCACGCCACCTCACGCCGAGTCTTGCCCTCTCAGGACGTCACTTTTGACGAGTCCGTCCCCTACTACCGCCTCTTCCCCTACCGCACTGCCCCGCTCCCCCCCCCGCCTCTCTTCCTCGCGCCAGATGCTGCTGTCGTAGACCCCCTCCCCCCTCAGGGTGCCGCTCCCTCAGGTGTGTCTCAGGTAGACCCGGTTGAGCCTGTTGAGGTAGCTGTCGACTCTCGTCCTGCTGTGGGTGCGGAGCCTGGGGGTGCTGAGCCTTGGGGTGCGGAGCCTGGGGGTGCTGAGCCTTGGGGTGCGGAGCCTAGGGGTGCGGAGCCTGGGGGTGCGGAGCCTGGGGGTGCGGAGCCTGGGGGTGCGGAGCCTGGGGGTACTGAGCCTTGGGCTATGGAGCCTGGGTGTGCTGAGCCTGGGAGTACTGAGCCTGGGAGTGCTGAGCCGCAGAGTCCGGAGTCTGGGGGTTCTCAGTCTGGAGGTCCTGAGCCTGAGGGTCCTACACCTGGCGGAGCCCTCTCCTCGGAGCAGCTACGTGAGTGGTACTTCCAGTACTGCAGCCTCAGGAGAGGTACCTCTGGAGCCAGGCGTACTACTGGAACTAGTGCTAGTGCTACTCCTCCTAGCCAGGAGCTCCCCTCCCGTGAGCGGATCCGTGAGTGGTACAAGCGGCGCTGCACTCTTCGGAGTGGCGCGCCTGGTGTCGCGGACCCCGCTGCTGCTGGTGGTGCTACTGGTGCTGGAGACTCTACTGGTTCTGCTGGTGCTGCGGCCCCAGAGGTTGGAGCTGTTTCTGGTGCTGCGGACCCGGGCGTTGGAGCTACGGCTGGTGCTGCGGACCCGGGCGCTGGTGCTGCTGCTGGTGCTGAGGACCCGGGCGTTGGAGCTGCTGGTGGTACTGAGGACCCAGGCGTTGGAGCTGCTGCTGGTGCTGAGGACCCTGGAGCTGGTGCTGCTGCTGGTGCTGTGGAGTCGGGCGTTGGAGCTGCTGCTGGTGCGGAGGACCCTGGCGCTGGTGTCTCTGCTGGTTCTGGAGTCGCTGCAAGGCAGCGGCCGTACTTCGTTCCGCTCCTTCAGCAAGTTCTTGGTCTCCCGCCTTCTCTCGGTCCTCCTCCTCCCTTAGAGTGTCCACAGCCTGTCCAGTCACAGTTACAGTTACAACCCGCCTCCCCACTGCCTGCTCCTTCTCCCTACACTGGTCCTACTGGAGGTCTTGCTGAGCGTCGTGAGCCTGCGTCTCGCCCTGCGTTGCCTGTCCGTACTGCTCGCACTAGTGGTTGCGGTTCGCGTCAGCGTCCTCCTCCTGTCCCTGGCACGCACCGGATGTCTCTGCGTCCGTCCACTGCTCCTCTGCGTGCCCCTTTGCCTTCTCCTCCTGAGTCCTCTCTTCCTGCTCTTGCCGACCCGGAGTCAGACTCTCTTCGTGCTGCCAGTCCTACTGTCACGCGTCCCCTTGCTACTGTCGTCACTGACCCTTCTTTTGAGTCCACTGCTGCGTCTGCCCTAGTTGCTGAGCTCGTCGACTTTGCTGCTCGTTGTCGTCTAGACTACGCTGCTAGTCTTGTCGCTGAGTCTGAGTCTGTCTGTCCTCCGTCCGTCGGGGGTGAGTGTGCCCTTGGCACGGACGTCCTTGAGGACAGGCAAGAGGAGTTCCAGTGCTTGGCCGCAGCTTCACCTCATCTCGTGTCCGTACTGCTTACCCCTGAGGGAGACCCGGATGCACTTGACATCCCGACTCCGTGCTCTTACGCGGAGGCGATAGAGGGTCCCTACTCTTCTCAGTGGCAGGCAGCTATGGATGCAGAGATGGCTTCCTGGAAGTCCACAGGCACCTACGTTGACGCTGTCCCCCCTCGTGGGGCGAACATCGTCAGTGGCATGTGGATTTTCAGGGTGAAGCGGCCGCCGGGTTCTCCGCCTGTCTTCAAGGCGCGTTACGTGGCTCGTGGCTTCAGTCAGCGGCAGGGAGTTGACTACTTTCAGACCTTCTCTCCCACCCCGAAGATGACCACTCTTAAGGTACTACTGCACGTAGCTGCTCACCGTGACTACGAGCTACACTCTCTTGACTTCAGCACTGCTTTCCTGCAGGGCAGCCTACACGAGGAGATCTCGCTGCGCCGCCCACTTGGCTTCACTGGGACTTTTCCTCTTGGCACCCAGTGGAGCCTCCGGCGGCCAGTCTACGGTCTCCGCCAGGCACCGCGTGAGTGGCACGACACACTGAGGACTACGCTTGCGGCTCTTGGGTTTACTCCCTCCACTGCCGACCTGTCGCTGTTTCTACGCCCGACACTTCTCTGCCGCCGTTCTACATCCTCGTGTACGTCGACGACTTGGTCTTTGCCACTGCTGACACTGCTGGACTCGCCTACGTGAAGTCCGAGCTGCAGAAGAGACACACGTGCACAGACCTGGGTGAACTGCGCAGCTACCTTGGCTTGCAGATCACCCGGGACAGAGCACGCCGCACCATCACCCTGACTCAGTCACACATGGTGCAGCAGGTCCTTCAGCGCTTCGGCTTCACGGTCTCCTCGCCTCAGGCCACTCCTCTGCCTACTCGCCACTCGCTCTCAGCTCTGCCTTCGGATGAGTCCGTAGAGTCGAGTGGCCCGTACCCAGAGCTTGTTGACTGCCTCATGTACCTGATGACCTGCACACGACCTGACCTTGCATACCCTCTTAGCATTCTCGCACGCTATGTTGCTCCTGGGAGACACCGACCAGAGCACATGGCTGCAGCGAAGAGGGTGTTGCGCTACTTGTGCAGTACGTCGGGCATGGGGCTAGTGCTTGGAGGGCGGAGTCCAGTGGTCCTCACTGGTCACGCAGACGCTTCTTGGGCTGACGATCAGGCTACGCAGCGTTCGTCAGATGGTTACACCTTCAGCCTTGGTTCCGGCTCTGTTTCGTGGCGGGCTACTCGCTCGTCTTCTGTTCTCGGCTCTAGTTGTGAGGCTGAGATCTAGGCAGGGGCCATGGCTGCTCAGGAGCTTCGCTGGCTCACCTACCTGCTGACCGACCTTGGAGAGCCGCCTAGTTCTCCTCCAGTCCTGTACGTAGACAACAAGGCCATGCTGGCCTTGTGTCGAGAGCAGAGACTGGAGCACAGAACAAAGCACATTGCTCTCCGCTACTTCCTTGCTCGCTAGCTACAGCAGCGTGGTCAGTTGCGGCTTGCGTACGTGGCCTCTGAGGCCAACACTGCTGATGTCTTCACCAAGGCACTTGCGCCTTGTGATCATCAGCGCTTCTGCACCCAGCTGGGTCTTGTACCTGTCTTGCCTCACTTGCTCACCTCTTGACCTTGCTTGTACTGTTACATATATATATACCTGCTCTTGCTTGTCTAGCCTTATATATATATATGTACTCATGCATGTGAACTGGCCTTGTGGCCTTGAACTTGTGCTCGGAATGTGTGGTGACTTTGTGATCCACCCTGAGCTTGCTTTGCTTGCTTTACTTGAGTGGTCTTGTGACCCCTAGTTCTCCCCCACTTCGCCTATGGGGGTGTGTCAAACCTTATATATGTTGTGCTTGTTTAGGCTACAGTGGGTTAGCCTATAGGGGGTACACAATTCTAGGGTTAGGTACTTGTACTGATTTCACTGTTAGTTCAATATTCCTGTTCATTCATTTCAACATATGCATGGGCGTGTGTTTGCTCCCCACCCCACCCCCCACCAGCCACGTCAATTTCAACTGGTTCTACGGCACCATCCCCACCTCTCTCCTCAACATGCCGGCCCTCTCCTTCCTGTAATGCCCTCGCCCCACCCTCTCCTCTCTTTCCCTGACCCCTCCTACCCTCCTGCTCCGCCCCTTTCACTCAATCTTCCGTTTACGTTGGTTCGAAGCTCTTTGCGTTCGTGCTCTTTTAAAGCGGGGGCGGTTCTGTTTCTGTGTGCCTCTGTGTGCCTCTGTGTGCCTTTGTACGTCTCTGTGTTGGTCTATGCGTCTCGGCGCCGCTGTGCCTGTGGATGCATCACACAGCATGCTGGGCTACAACTACCTCACAGGCACGCTGCCCAAGCCGCTGGCGGCACTCAAGGCGTTCGACACGGAGCGCAACTTCCTCTCGGGCACCTTCCCCACCGCCTCGCTTGCCTACTGCTCCGCGCGCGGCAACTGCTTCCTCGACGCCACTGCCTGCTTCAGCATTGACGAGGTGGACCAGAGGGGCGCGGGCTGCAACATGTGCGGGTCGGGCAACGGGCAGCTGCCGATGTGTGGCAGGGCCATGTGCACGCCAGACCCCTCGGCATACGTGGCGTCCGAAGTGCCCAACAGCGGCACCGCGCCCACCCTCGCCCTCAAGTGCCCGGCTCTTCCTCTTGATGCCACCTCCTGTGAGTGCCTCCCTCCGCATGCCATGCGCACTGCACCACACCGCAGCACACCACCACTCATGCCACTCTTGTACCTCATGCACTGCAATGTGTGCCGTGCTGCCTGCTGCCTTCACTGCTGCTCAAGTGTGGTGTGCATGAACGTATCCCCTCTTTCTCTCCCCCCCTGCCTTCGACCTGTTTGCAGCGGCGGCGTTGCTGAACATAGGGGCGGCGCTGGGAGTGACGCACACGGACTGGAGCGCCAGCAGCGGCTGCAAAATCATCGGGCAGGCCATCGCCCCCAAGTCCTGGCCGGGCGTCTGGTGCAGCGGCAGCGGCGCCGTCGTCTCCCTGTGAGCCTCCTCTCCCCCTTTTCTCCCCCTCCCCCTCCCCTCCCCTCCCTCCCACTCTTTCCTCACCCTGTCAAGTGCTTATTCAATCATCCAGAGTCAGGCTAGAAAGGACAAGGCGACCTGAAACAAGGCGAACTGGAACAAGGCGACCTGAAAGAACAATGTCAGGTGGCGAAAGGCTGAAGGGGATTGGGAGAAAGAGTCGTCCTTATGGCTCGCTGAATCTGGCTCGCTGAATCTGGCTCTCATGTTGCTCATGACCAGTGCGTTGTCTCTCATACTGCTCTTTTGCTTCTCTCGCCCCACCCATTGTGTGTGTTCCCATGGCAGTGTTGTGAACAACTTGAACCTGCGGGGAACCATCCATGCAGACATGACCAAACTCTCCAGCCTCACCTACCTGTATGTGCATCACCTACCTGTATGTGCATCACCTACCTGTATGTGCATCACCTACCTGTACGTGCATCACCTACCTGTACCTCCCACTTCATGTGCAAGCATCCTCATCCCCGGACTGTCATCATCTCTCTCCCATTCTGCCACCATGCTCACCCATTCGAGCCTGCCCCTCCCATGCTCACCCATTTGAGCCTGCCCCTCCCATGGTCGCCCAACCCCCTCGTGCACGTGAAGCCATGTGGGGTACAATCTGCTGTAGCGGTCCGTCTCGCCACCTTCGTCTCCAACATCACGCCGCTCACTCGCCATTGTCACTCTGTGCGTCCCCCTTTCGCCCCTCTCCTCGCCCTCGCCACCCTCCTCTCACATTCTCGCCTCACTGCTGCATTCTGCACTCCTCTCACATCCCTCGCTCTGTCTCTGCAGTCCCCTCGCTCTGTCTCTGCAGTCCCCTCGCTCTGTCTCTGCAGTCCCCTCGCTCTGTCTCTGCAGTCCCCTCGCTCTGTCTCTGCAGTCCCTCGCTCTGTCTCTGCAGTCCCCCTCGCTCTATCTCTGCAGTCCCCTCGCTCTGTCTCTGCAGGCCCCTCGCTCTTGTATCTGCATGTCATTCTTCCTTCTTGCCTTGGCCCTTGATGCCGCTGCCCCCCCGTGCCCTCTCTCTG